TTATATAAATATATATAAACATATGTATATATATTTTCAATTAGCTTTGGTTATTTTGAGGAACCTGTGCCTTGTCACCTTATGGATGATACAAGTGTGTTACTGATTTTTCTTTTGCTATGAACACCAGGAAGCTCAGAGCCATGCTGGTTGTTTCATTGAATGATACTATAGAGTTTTATGTTTTCTTTCTTTTCATTATAACTTTCTTTGTGGTCTTGAACTATGTTTACATATGTTTTTCCAGGTTCTTATTTTTAAACTAATTTATGTATTTTAAAAGGTTTTTTTGTTTGTTTTTGTGAAACAGGGTATCCCTCTGTCACCCAGGTTGGAGTGCAGTGGTGCCATCTTGGCTCACTACAGCCTTGATCACCCAGGCTCATGTGATTGTCCTGCCTCAGCCTCCCAAGTAGCTGGGACTACAGGTGTGTACAAGAATGACTGCATAATTTCTTTTTGCACTTTTTTTGTAGAGACAGGGTTTTGCCATGTTGCTTGGGCTGCTCTCAAATTTCTGGGCTCAAGCAACCTGCCTGCCTCAGCCTCCCAAATTGCTGGAATTACAGGAGTGAGCCACTGTGCCTGGCAATAGTGTTCTTTATAAATGTTCTTTTAATTTGTCTTAAATCTTACGGGAAATGAAATAAAAGGATGAATTTATAAATAAAGCCATATTTGCTTTCTTTGAATCATCATTCTCAGAGTGATAGAGGGTATGAGATAGTTAATAGTTGCAGAGAGGTCAGTTAGAAGGTTTCTCCAAAAGTTTAAGAGAGAAATGAGGAAAGTCTAAACTGAGGCCGTGGGATGGGAATGGAGAGAAGGGGTAGATCTGACAGAGATTTAGGAGGCAGAATTGGAGGAACTTGGTGATGAATTAGATGCTGTGCGTGTGAGGGGATGGGTGGGTGATGGAGGTGTGTAGTGTCCAAAATGATTCTGAGGCCTCCACCTTGTTTGCCTGGATGGCAGGTGGGGAAGGTGGCACCATTCATTATGATATGGAAGTCTGTAAGAAAACCAGGGGTGAAGCGGAAGATGATAAGCACCTGTGGGACATCCAGGTGGACATGCCTTTATCAGTTGGTCTGAAAGTCAGAAGGAAGTCTGATGAAGACACAAATGTGGTCTTTGTGAGAGTGAATGAGCTCTTCTGGAGAGACGGAATGCATGGCTGAGAAGAGCAAAAGCAGAAGAGAGAATGAAAGTTGGAGCCCTGAGAATCATCATTTAATGATCAGGTAGAGAAGGAAGAGCTGGCAAAGGAAAATAAGACAGAAAAGTAGGATTAAATGACAAGAACATAAAGACTTGAGAACTAAAATGAGCACTGAAGAGGGTGGCAGTGGTCAACTGCATCTGATGCTGCTGGCAAGATCAACAAAGATGAGCGCTAGATCTAGTCATTCCACAGTGTATATACACTTCAAAACATCGTATTTTGCACAATAAATACACACAATTTTATCTTTCAATTACAAAAGCAAAAATAAAAGGTGAGCATTGGGAAGTAGTCTTTTATTTGGGACTTGTAAATAATTGGTATCTTTGGAGGCATTTATTCATTAAATACTTTATATATATATATATATATAAAATATACTTTTTTTTTATTTTTTGAGAGTGAGTCTTGCTCTATCCCCTAGGCTGGAGTACAGCGCACGATCTGGGCTCACTGCAACCTCCACCTCCCGGGTTCAAGCAATTCTTCTGCCTCAGCCTCTTGAGTAGCTGGGATTACAGGTGCCTGCCACCATGCCCGGCTAATTTTTTGTATTTTCGGTAGAGACGGGTTTCACCATGTTGTCCAGGATGGTCTTGATCTCCTGACCTCGTGATCCACCTGCCTCAGCCTCCCAAAGTGCTGGGATTATAGACGTCAGCCACCGCACCCAGCCCATTAAATACTTATTAAGTGACTCTTATGTGCTACAATCTAATCATATACTGATGACCAATTTGATGGGAGGATGGTAAGAGGCAACTAAATGTAAGGTAACTTAATTCACCAAGATGTGAAATAGTGGAGGAAAATTAGGAGGGGAGGCCGGGTGCGGTGGCGCACGCCTGTAATCCTAGGACTTTGGGAGGCTGAGGCAGGTGGATCATGAGGTCAGGAGTTTGGGACCAGTCTGACCAACATGGTGAAACTCGTCTCTACTAAAAATACAAAAATTAGCCAGGTATGGCGGTGGGCATGTGTAGTCCCAGCTACTCAGGAGGCTGAGGCAGGAGAATCGCTTGAACTCAGGAGGCGGAGCTTGAAGTGAGCCGAGATTGGTCCACTGCACTCCAGCCTGGGTGACATAGCGAGACTCCATCTCAAAAAACAAAAAGAAAATCAAAAATCAGAAAGTTCTAGTTTTAGAAAATCCCTATAGCTAGGTATGTGCACCAGGTTAAATGATGGGGTTACAATATTGTAGAAGAGTAGAATAAAATTCTTTATGAATAATGTTTAAATCAAAGAAAAGAGGCCAAGGTTTTCATGAACATCAATAAAGCTTTATAACAATACAATTCATTATCATTGTTTGGATTAATATTGTAATAATTACACACTTTTTACATTATGAAAATAAGTCATAAATAGTGTAAAAATAATTCTGAAGATCAACTTCTCACAAACTAGGAACCCTGAAAACAAATTTAAAAAGCAAATAAAAACAAATTGGAAACTGAACACAATGCAATTATCTCCAAACCGCAAATCAAAAATCTTATGCATCTTTTGATACAGTAATGTCAGCTGGAGAAAGTACAATGAAATTAAAGTAAAAATTGAACAGGGAGAATTCAATCTTTCAATTATTTACACTACTAAGATAAACAGGTTTGTGCCATATTTACAGTGATAAGACACAACACATTCTTAGAATAATCAATTATATGAGACTGGCCCACAAACATTTAAAAAAATATGCAGTGTAATGCTTGCCAAAATATTTTTTTTGCATATTTCACTTATTTTGTATTTATGTGAGTTTTTGGCAATATAAAAATAGCTGCACATAGAGATGAACTTTAAAATGTAAAAAATACAAATAAAAATATAATATTTTCTAAAGAAAAATCAGATACATACATCTTTTAAAAATGTTATTAAGTTGAATGAAACATTTACAACAGTATAAAGAATACTCACATAAATGTCAACAGTATGTAAGACATTCTTTTGTGAATCCAATTCATTAATATTTCTGAGATAGGTGAGAATATCAACTACATTTTGAGAAATGTGGTACTTTCTTTGTTAAGTTGTTAATAAATCACGCATAACTGTTTAGGCTGAAAAAAATCTTCCCATTCCCAAAAGGACAGTTCTTTCAATAAGCAGCACAGGCAATTTTATACATTTAAATATTTTGAAATGAAAAAAGTCATTAAAGTGTTTTTTAGTATGGGGTTAGCAAAAACCAAACTCCACTAAAAATTTAAGTTAGAGGAGTGTCCTGCTGTGTCAACTTTATGTTGGCAACAAATCTAGCCAACATAGATATCCCAATAAAAATGGGAAGAAGTAGGGACTGACAGTCCTTCTAGTCTAAAACAATTTAGCATAATCATAATTGGTCAAGCTTGTTAATTCCACTAGGGATGTATGATTTTAATAGCCAGAATCACAATAATAGTCAGATTGTTCTTACTTATTTTTAGAAAGATAAGATAGGGTTCCTAAGGACTTAACTTCCAAGAGATAGCAGGAGCTTTTGTTTTTACAAATTAGAAAATCCTATTTTTTTGAAGTGCGAAATATTAATATAATTTGATTATTAGGAAATAAGAAAAAACAAGATTTCAAATATTAGCATCTGTATGTTGCTTATGATCACCTATTAGAAGATGTTAAAATACCACCAAAGTATAGCCCAATTCTGGGTAAGACAATATATAGTGGGGAAAGAAAGGATAACAAATTATGTTAAGTGTTCATGCTTTGATAGTAACATTAAAAAAAAATAAACCTTGGAAATTAAGCACATTTCCTAAGTGATAAAAATACAACATATCAAAGACAATTTTTCCATTGGTACTGACATGCTGATTTGACAGTTTTCTAAACTAGCATATATATCTGTCTATATAGATAGATAGACAAAGGACATGTAGTATAAACTACTTGATGTGTAAGTTCTTGCTGTCCCATCAGAACATCGTATGCACAGAATGTAAATTTAAAAACAAGACCTTTCTTCTAGTAGGAATTAAAGATATTCTAATGTCCTCTATAAAATCACATGAGAAAAAAAAGTCCTCCAAGACTGCTTTTACTAATGAAAAACAAAAACTGAAAGAAAAAATTAGGTATATTTGTGCACTAAGTACTCTATAAGGTGTGTGCAAACTTCTCTAATGCTAGCTTTGTCATGTTTCATCAAATCATATAAACTAAAAGATGAGTGAATGAAAAAGATGAGACACATGAAAGTAGATAAAGGCATATGATGTATGAAATGACTATGAAAGAGGAGGATCCATGATCCGAGTAAACACACATCATCCATCTATAGGTACACTGTTTTGTTTTACATTAAGAAAGCCTGGTCATTGGACCATAATTATAGCAAATTCATGAACTTTAAAAATAAAATCACACACTAATGATTTAGGAATGCTATTAAACAGGGAAATAAAATTATCCATAGTAGTTGCATTGTCCATAGAGAAAAAGGAAAAGAAATACATTAGCACCAACCAACATACATGAAAAACAATTTTAAATCTAAAACACATATCAATTTGCCATCTTTTAATGTTTTATCGGAAATAGAAACTGACCTTGCCTTATTTCCAATGTGTCTTTCATGTATATTTTCTCAACCCTCTATCCAATAACATACATTAAAGAAATCTTTAAGGAAAGTATATTATCTATCAACACATATCAACAAACACAATTCTTTCATTCATTTAGAAATTATTTAAGAATTCTCTATATTGATGACAAAATGGATGCTTGAAAACATTGTAGTAACCGAAAGTTAAAGATTATCCATTATGGTTAAGACCTAGCAATTCCACTGAACAAGGAGTATCGTCATCCCTTTGTTTTTCCCAAGGAAATAAATGTAATGGAAGTTTATAACCTCATTTAATCATGAAATAAGTCGATGTTGTGAAATCAGTTATAGAGAAAAAACTCAATATACACACAGGACAGAACAGTATTCTTTGAAGGGCTGTATTTCAAAACAAATTTTTTGTACATAAAGTGTTTTTCTTTTGATGTAGAGGTATCATCTCCTGAAGCTGTGCAAGTTTTAAATAGTGATCCATCTCAATCCACCTCTTTCTACTAGAGAAGCAGAAAAAAAGATAGAAGGGAAAAAATACAGCCACTGGACATTGTAGTTTGTTTTCCTGAAGAGAATGTCGTTCCACCCACTTCAGTTCATTTTTCCAAACCATTTAAGACAAATTGTGTCAGACATTGAGCAATACCTTATCCTAACACCATGCCATACAAGAAATTGTTAGAAAATGCCCTCCATTATTTTCAAAATGCTAAACTGGCTTAGCGGTGTGGAATGTTACCAGAGATGTTACCAATTAGACTGATCTAATAGTTTAAACATCTTTCAACTTTAAAAATTTAATAGAAAAAAAAAGAAGATGCCATTTTGTATGACCGTCATTTGGTTACATAACATAAATGAGATCATGAGGATTTTAGGTTTCTTGTCTTATGGTTATATCTTAACTATAAGCCAGTGATGAGTTAATTTCCCTTCTGGTGGTGACACCTATGCGTGAAACTAGAAATCTTCCCAGAAGACGGCATCGAGTCAGGAGAGAAATTAAATTCTCTAATGGGCTGAAAGGGTGCCTACTCCTCATTGATAATGTTTCTTTTAATGTAACACTTCCACTTAGAATAAGCCATTTCAAAACACGCTACCAACTCTTTACTGTGCAAATAAATGTTCCGTCTAATACGTTTAGGTAAAGTTTGAGCAAGTAGATGAAAAATACTCTCTTTATGGCAACTATATTTCACAGCTTTCTGAGATCTTAGATTTGGTCTGTGGATATGAGGATAAGACAAACATTTAGAAATGTTAAAAAGAAAGAAATCTAAATATAGACAAAACTTAAAACCATAAAAACAGAAATTAATATTATCAAATGTGACAAAATCTTGGCTTTATATTAACTGATAATCTCCATGTACGTTACATTCATCATGTAAAGAAAGTCAAAACATACTTAAAAATGTGTAACTTTCATGCTTTACAATGATTAGACTGAAAGTGGAGCTTATTTTATACTCTATGCAATTATCCAAAACAAGAGAGAAGTTAGTAAAAGGTCATTTTGACCATCGGAGCCAAATTATTATGATTTGAAGTCTTCTTAAAAAAATTGTTCAAAACATATGTGACAAAAACTGAAATGAATATTTTTTCAATATTCCTGGGACTAAAGAAAGAAAAAGGAAAAAGCATTAAAAAGAATGAAAAATACCTTTCTGTTTCTCAAACTTTGTAGGAAATGTTTGACATGGGTTGGATCTTTGGAGGAAGGAAAGCTCTCACAACAACTTTGGCACAGATGTCCCAGTAAGCTCTCCTACATCATCAGGAAAGGTGATTTTGGCTGATCCCTTCTCAGAACATGTTATTTCTTCAGTAACCCAAGTTTTGGTGGGATGCACATCCCTGTTTCCTCAGGGAAAAGGGCTCCCATTCCAAGAATCTCCTATTCCAAAAGAAGCGCTGTGCCTCTGTCATTTTTAAAAGCACCCATATTAACACTTGCTGAAATTCAGTTTATTTATATATATATTTTTAAGTCTGGTTCTGCATGTTTGCATTTGTAAACCTCTTTCCTACTTGGTCACACGAGAGACAGTGCTGGAGGCTGAATCGGTCCTCTTCCCGTGTCTTCACTGCCAAGGGCAGCCCAAGGAAAACTGGCGGCAGCAACAGGCTCAACCCCTTCGTATTTCAACCAAAGTGGCCACGTGAGCCCACAATACTGGAAGCTGAAGATCTGCAGTCAGGACTGCAACTCCCTCAAAATACAAGACAAATTGTGTGTGTGCTCTCCACCACCTTATCTCTTTTTGGCAATAAGCCATGGTGTAACCCCCTTGAGATGACAAAAGGAATAAAAGCTCAGATGTAATCAAAGGACTTGTGATCAGCATGCTAGCATCTGAAGTTGCACAGCAAGCAGGTTTGGCACACAGTCATGCTTTTTTAGTCAATTTCAATGGGTAGTGTAGGTATGAGTCAACGCCAACACGAAAGGTGAATAGGAATGTGATAATCAACTCTCAAATCAGTCAGTATAGTACATTTTCATAGCTTTGAGCCCATATTTGGTCACCATTTCATGTAAACTATTTCATGGCACTTTTTGTCCATGCAATTAGCAAGCCCGAAGAAGGAAAATAGCTAGTACAATCAATCATTATCTACCACTGATTTGTCCATATAAATACGTATCTTCACATAAGATAAAGAGATACTGATCTATATTTTTTGCAGGTTTCTCACTGATTTCACAAATTGCCCAATTTCAGATGTAAGTGGAGTAAAAATGGACATGTATACTATTGCCAGCAGGAAGAAGCAGCCCTATGTAAACATATCTCAGACTTGTAAAATCTGCAATTCAGTTTTCAACTATAAATATTAAAAGAGGACCATTATATACACAACTTCATGCTTGAAAGGTTAGATTCATCACTGCAGAAAAAGACAACAAAAAGATAAATACATGGAATTAGTAGTCTTGAATTAAAATTTTAAATCAATATTTATTTTAAGAAAACTGGTAGAACCTTGAATAGAGTCTATAAGCCAACTGACTGGCTACCAATGAGCCAATTGATTATCTGATATGTGTGCTATACATTACTTTCTAAACTCCAAGATGTCACGGCAATTTCCATCTGAGGTTCATTCCACATTTTTCCTTTGCCACTGAGAATTTTAGGGTAAGTGTTTTGCTCAGTAACTGTTCTGGGAAAGCAGAAAATTAGGATGTTTATCACATATGTATGACAATTAAATTTAATTCTGTATTTGTAAGCTACATAATCTTCTGCAAGCATTACAATACAACTGTGGAAAGGGCTGAGGACTGACCTCGATAATGTTGTTTACTTCGCCAACACCTGACTCTAATCCTCTATTCTTCAGTTCTTGGTTCCTCCTTCCTTTTGCAAGCCTTGCCCACTGTGAATGTTATGCAAGGTAGACCTGCCTGCTCTCAGGCCTTCAATCTGTATTACAGGTTCCATTGTAACCTAAGGCACCACAGATTTCTGGTTTCTCACCTGTCTCTCATAGCAGTCATAATTACTAAGGTTTTCCTAGAACTGCATTAAGTCAGAGGTCTGAGGAACAGAGGTCTTTGAGATATACACTTACAAAGCAAATCTTAGAGACATCCTTGACATTTACTCAAAGAAAAATCAGTAAGTAGAATGTACAGACAAGGAGAATAACAGAGGTCTCTTCATTCACCCTCCACAATGCATGGAGTCATCTTTAAGTTTATTTATCAACATTTGTTTTTCTCTATTCAAGGAAAATAGATGCTCTACTAGGTGTGCTTTGGAGGCTGCTTTCTAATCTTCAGAGATGGAGTTCACTCAATATTCTTGCCTGTCATGCCAATGCCAAAAAATGTGTCTATAGGAAGCACTCCTTTTTCCAAACCCTCAATTATCTCTCTTAACTCTTCCTGTGTTGGTAAATTTAGAAAACAGAACTATATCTAGAAAGAAAACTAATTTAAACAAAGATGAAATAGTTTTGCATGTATAAATCATTGAGAGGAGCATAACCAAGAGGAGGTGGTAATCAGTGATTTATATGACTGCCACAATTTGAATTTTAAGTCAAGTAAACATTTGCCACTGTGCCCTACAGCCTAATAAACACAGCAGTGTTCAAAAGGGTGATAACACCCAAAATAGGACTCACTAAAAGCAATCCGCTGACCTTATTTTAAAAATATAATTTTAAAAGTAATTTTTATGTGACTATTTTATATCACAGCTAAGTTGACCACATAAGAAATTTGAGAACGTTTTCATTTTCTAATTGTTTCTTTCCTTTCTGGGGATGGGTGGGAGAGGTTGATCAGAATGATTTGCATTTGTGTGTGTTGGGTGGATGTGGTAAACAATTCTAAAGTTTCATAATTCTTATTCTTTATATAAGATGCTAGATTCATAAGATCTTTAATCTTCTGTAGCATATAGTGTCTATTCTGTGGAAAAATATGTATTTAAAAGGAAAATTTCTGATTTTCTAATAGTATTCATATTACTACCAGCTTTGGCCATTTCATGAACCAAAAAGATGATGAGTTCTTTGTTGCCATTTAAGGGTATAAACCCCTTTAAAAAGGCAGCGATTCAGAGGTGGCTAAAAACGATTGTGAACCCAAGTTCTGAGTGGTGTCAGAAGGCTGGATAAAGCAAGCCTACTGCATCTCCGCTATGTGAAGTGTGCTAATGGTTGGTTTAAAAAATCATTACACTATTAGATTACAGGGCAAAGGTTAGAGAGTAAGTGGTAATTCCAGCTCAAGATGGTATTAAAAATTCTGTGAACGGGGGTTATGATAGGGGAGGGATAGTTTTCTCAGGTGAAGAAGAATATGATGATAGGTCCATTTTCATGAGACCCACTTGACCCTGTATGTGATCAAGCTAATTATCTGACAGGCTGAAAGCGGAGTATGGGAAGCTACTAAATAAATGACGCTACTGAGAGAGGTTTTACTTTCTCTGGTCAAGTAGGTGAAACTGATTAAGAAAGAGAGTGAGTTATTCAGGATTTTCTCACCACGGAGTTGCTAAGGTAAGATGCAACTAAGAGAGTCAGGTTTCCCATCTTTCTGCATTGCTACATAGTTTTGCTGTAATGTTGCTAATGAGGCATGCCTGTCCAAAATTACTGAAGAAGCCACAAGGTGCTGGAGAAAAATATTTCAAAATGATTGAAGCATCTTGTGCATTTTCTCAGCCCATTTTTACATGCTTGGAATGCTTTTATCCTTCAGTAGCATGTGCACAGCCTTTATAATTAGATCTTCACCATTATTGCATAAAGGTTTGGTATTCTCTGAATAGCACAGCTCATTCGGATGATCTCTTCCTTGCTTACAGTTTCACTGTTGCTTTCTATTGTTTCTCTCTCCCTCTCCTAGTTGTGTTACACACTAGTTCTGTGCTCTTGGAAGGTCCTTGACCTCTCTGAATTTGTTTCTTCATCTGCATCACTAAGGGTAATAAGACTTTATGGGGTCATTGTATGGATTAAATGAAATGATATTCTCTATATGAAAAGGCTTATCATACAGCCTTTGCACATAGAAGGTTCTCTGTAAAAAATAAACTCCATTCCTCACTGAATACACACACAGTGACTATGGGCAGTCATATGAAGAGGCTAGAATAAACTGATTCATAAAGGACACCACTTAAATTTAATTCAGTTTCTCCTACATAACTCAAGACATCATTAAACAAATGATGCTTATATTTTTCTGCTTTCTCAGCTCTGTGACTATATTGACAGGGTTCTACCATGTATTAGCATGTTTGTCTGTGTAAGTAAGTATAAATAGAAGAAGAATCACAATTGAGAATAGGTTTAAACATTAGGAAGACAAAGATTTTGAGAGACAAGTAAAACGTTATCAGGGTGCACTGCCCCTTTCCATTCCAAAGAAAGGATTAGATAGGGAAGGTTCCAAATTGCAATGTTTGCTAAGAATTGCGTTAGCTGATCAGTTTAGGAAGAAATCAGCAGTAAATATACTGATTAAAAGATATTCTGGAGATGAAATCTTTTGCTTTTTAATATCCAAACAACTCTTCGCAATGTCACATCCAAAGGTCTGTTCTGAATGGAAAGGGCTAGTCCAGGTTAAGAGAAAGGGAGAGTGCTTCTTTTGAGAAATTATTCAGTAAAGCCTACCTTTTGCCAACAGCCAGGCATGGGTAAGCCATCTGGCCCCTGTTTTAAAGAGAAGAAAAAGAATTCCTCAGGCTCCGTAAGTGTGATTAAACTTCATAATTCACATGCTCAGAGGCTTAAAAATAAATTTCTACCCATTAGTGGCTTTGGTCATGGGCATCTTTTACTAATTAGCAACTCCCAATATATTACCCAGTGTTAGGTAAAATAAAGAAAATTCAAATGTTTTCCAGAGTGAGTACACATTTTGAAAACACATAAAGTATAGAAAATGTTGTGCCTAATTTTGAAAAAGCAATTTACAAAGCATAGTGCTCTATTCATATCTATATTTTTAGATAATAAATCTATACTCTTAATTTCATTAAAACAGGTCTCGCTGGTATCTCTATTAAGTAAACCGAAATAACTTATCTTCCTGGTCACTATTAGACTATGGCTGAATTCATGATAATGATGAATAATCAATGATAAACCATTTCTATCTGAAGTTTGTAGCTCTTCACATGCCAGTATTTTTCACTTTTCTATATTGAAAGTAAATACAGTAGAACATACTCAATTGAATTAGAAGACAAGCAGCCTATCTATATTTTTATGATAAAATATTATCTAGAACATTCATCGATTTCTCTATTTAAATTATTCAGAAGTTAACAAATTCTGAATAAAATAAGAGGTTCCTAAGTGTGGCAAAATGTATTTTAAAGTGTATGCATTCTTCAGATACAAATGATACAAATAAAGCAGGAAGAGTTGGTACATCAAGAGGGCATGCTTCTACTTTTCCCCCGACAAAATGATCATAAAATATGATTTATCATCAATACCAAGCAAACAAAGAACTAGGAACTTCATATTGAGATTTTCTAACTATAATCACTGACTGCTTAATTTTTAAAAATATAAATACAATCTCTTAAAGAGAAATATAAATTTATCTTTAAAGAATCATGCTTATACCTGAAGAATAATATAAGAACATGCAGACCAGTATAACCATCAATGCAAACATAAAAATTTTTATTTATACCTCAGAAAATATGAATATACTTTCATTTTAAATGTAAAAAAAAGAACACTTTTGAAAAGCTTCATAAAATATTTGGGAAAAACTGGTAATGCCAGATTGGTACAAGGAGAAGGTTCAACCAGCAGAATTTTAGATTTTAGTATCAGGAGGATTTTGAGTTCATGCCAATGGAGATAAGGGAGTTTGGTCTACTTTAGGAAAGTGAGTTTCAAAAGGAGAGACCATTAAATTGAAAAGGTTATGTGACAAAGAAGAGGGTTGGGGCTGCAGACTCTTATCATCTTTAGAAGCTCAGAGAAGTTTGGTCCTCTTCTCTCTGGTCTCTTAAAGCATTCTCTTGAATTGGTTAACACTTGACAACAGAAGCTGAATTCCGTAGGTTGGGCCTTATTTACAGCCTGATAGAAATATAGCGAAAAAGGCAGAAATACCTTTATTTGTTTTAGAGAAAAAGAAAAAAAGTCAAACTTAGGTGGAAAACCAAAAGCTATGGTCCAGCAGTGTCTTTGCATCAAATATTTTCATATAATTTTACTGTAATCTTTAAATATTTATGGAAAAAATTAATATTCCAAAGAACACAAAAAAGGTGGTCATGTCAGTTGTGAGAACAACATCAGGAGATTAATTTGCATTCATTGATAGAAACACGTGCTTGCCCTCTGACTCTGCAGAGTGGCAGAAGGAGCCTGTTCATGCACATGCATGTAGTGTGTTTATCATGTAAAGCTTGCCCAGAAAGCACCACTTTACACTGATAGAGATGAACATGTAATAAAGGAACTGCATGCAGGGTGGTAGGAAAGAGAAATACTGTACCAATTGGCAAGGGGCATCCAGCCCATCCAGGCCAGGCTGGCCTGGCTCCCCTTTTTCCCCCTTAACGCCACGGAATCCCTGTTTGTAAAGATTAACTGATAATGTTACTAACACAAGAAATCACTTAAGCACAAATTCTGCGAAAGAAGTAACTACAACAACAAAAGGCTGGGAGAGGAGCAACTCTGAAGGGAAAAGTAACATCCAGTGAAGTTGGACAAAGTAAAATGGAGGGAGACATATTCCTACAACAGGGGCTTGTTTGAAAACAGTGGCCTCTCTTTGGAGGGGTATGGAATAGTGCCGGTTCCTTTCGGATCTTACATTCAGGTTCCAGTTGTGCCGTGATATTTGGGGGTTAAGAAACCAGGCAGAGCTAGTGGCCAGAGATGAGATATGGAACATATCAGGATAACTATGATAAGTGTTTCTGGGTATCTTGAAGTCCGTGTTAAATGACCCCAATCAGAAACCCTCCTGTTACGGATCCCTCCAGCTTGCTCTTCTCCCATCTGATCCCCTCACACAAACATCTGGAGACAGTTCCAGGAGTCAGACATACCAACGGGCAGGGTGCATCTAATCCAGGAGCACCCTGTTCTCCTTTCTCCCCTTTAGGGCCCTTTTTGCCTTTCTTTCCCTTTTCCCCCTGTGGATACAAGGGTTTAAATAAAAGACAAATTTTATTTGGGGGGAAATAATGGTAATTCAAAAGATGGTTTAGGTAAGAAAATTCTGGAAGGGCATTTACCACTGTTTTCTGATTTAGGTAAGGCATGATATTATAAAAGCTAATACTTTCCAGAGTGACAATGGATTCTGGGCAGGGGCATGTGGGATTTTATTTAAGATACTCAACAAGACAGAAGGAGGCTTAAAAGCTGATACATCAGAAGTGCTAACTTAGACCACAATGTCACAGTCATGAATTAGGTGTCTGAGTCACAGATCCTGTGAGGATGACAGGTACCAAAAGCATTGAAGCCAGCCAGTGGCAGATGAAGTTCAGGGAAATAATGGATACTTCACTCAATTTTCAATACCTGTCACCTTTCTTTTTTCTAATCCTGTAACAGATGAAAGCTGCATTGAACCAGAGGAAAAGGAAAGAATGTTAACAGTGTCTAGTTCTTTGAAATGTATCCAACTTTATGATTGATATTACTTGTGTAACTCTCATTCAAAAATACTCAATGTCTTAAAATATGCTATTTCTTTTAATATTTTTTATATCCTTTTGTTACAGCAAAACATTTTTTTAAAAGAAACCAAAAGCAAATACTTTCCTTATTAAGTCAGGTAACAAATGTTAAAAGTGCTAATAGTTTGCAGCAATGCCAACTGGAGAAACCGACTTATTTATAAACCTAGGGATCTTCTTTAATTCACTCTCTTACTGATCTCATGCCATGTATTTACAATGGTAAATGAGTTTCCAGCTTACTCATAATGTGACAAAAGCCAAAAAAAAAAAAAAAAATCTGTTCAGGAGAGGAAAAGCAGCTTGGACTCAGTAAAATGAGGTAGGCAGGATAATTACATAGTGGGAATGTAGATATGGAAATTAGTATTTAGGAATCAAGGTAAAGGTTGTGGGAAATCTGCATGGATCATAGGGCCAGAGGAATTAAGGAAAGGAGGCAAAAGGAGGAGAAGGAAGGAATGCACCTCAGCTGTTTTATATTAACATCAATATCTCTGCATATTTATAGACAGGGAGTTAGCGCCGTGCAGAATTCAAAATGCTATACAATACATACTTAAAAAAATGTATTCATTCTGCAATCAGGATGGGAGTTACAATAAAACTGAATAATCTCTGAAGCAAAGCAACATGAATATTGAAAGTGAAAAGAGATACACATAACAGAAATATATGAGATGTGCATTCAAATTAATACATTCATTCTGACAGCATGAGCAAAAGCTCTTCATTTATCTCCTGTGTGCCAAAAAGATTGCATCAGAAGGCTCAGAATCAAAAACACTTGGATTTCTTGAATATGGGGCAAAGAGACATTCTCTGTGGCTTAGTTGATTATGATCAAAGACAATGATGACCCCAGAAGCCAGGGTGAAATGAGAGCAGTTGTGATAGGAAGTAAGATGGGAGGAACATTCAGAAGTAAGTTGGTCACTCACTCAAGATGGATCAACATCCTTCCTTAATAAATCACTTCAGTACCATGAGATAAAACTGATGTAAACTCATTTGGGTGAGCTCTTCCCTCCCAGAGGGCAGTGGACTCTTCTTCACATAGGTGTGTCTGAGACCGGTGTGTTGGGTATTATTACTTTGGAATTCAATTCATTATTTGATTGGTAAATCAACTCAGATTAACCACTCAACAGAAAAATGTTGTCATATGAATGTTACTGTGCCAGACTATAGGAATCATTTTTCAGTAATATTTTAGTGAGCCTCAAGCTTTACAGAAAAGAAACACTACAGTATGAAGAATAACGTGCCAATGTTATTATTAGTCAGCATTGTTTTGTAATATGTACTGATTCCCCATGCAATACAAAACCATGTCATTGTGGGTATGAGTACATGAGAGTTCTTGATAACTTTTATTTCCCATGTCAAATAATTATATACATGAATTATTCTCATTTAGAATCAATTTTTGTAAATTTAAAACTTCTAATCATGGAAGCTGAACATGGAAATATTTTGTATGGGTGATTAACATTATTCTGAGGATCAAGTTTCCAGCTTTTATGCTTTCCTATGCTGTAATGCTGGTAATTTCTTTCTCGTAAACATGAGTATCCTCCTAATGGTATTTTTTTTTTTTTTTTTTGAGACAGGGTCTCACTCTTGTTGCCCAGGCTGGAGTGCAATGGCGTGATCTTGGCTCACTGCAACCTCCGCCTCCGGGGTTCAAGCGATTCTCCTGCCTCAGCCTCCCAACTAGCTGGGATTATAGGCACCCACCACCACCCCCAGCTAATTTTTGTATTTTCAGTAGAGACAGGGTTTCGTCATGTTAGCCAGGCTGGTCTCAAACTCCTGACCTCAAGTGATCCACCCGTCTCAGCCTCCTAAAGTGTTGGGATTACAGGAGTGAGCCACCGCGCCCAGCAGTAATATGTTTTTGCGTGATTAAGATTTTAGACTCATATAACCCATTAGGTAAATATAAAATGCATATATATATATATATATATGTTTTTGAGTTTTTTTAGAGCCAGAGTTTTGTTCTGTCACCCAGGCTAAAGTACAGTGGTGTGAGCATAGCTCACTACAGCCTCAAACTCTTGAGTTCAAGTGATCTTCCCACCTCAGCTTCTGGAGTAGCTGGGACTACAGGTACACACCACCATGCCCCACCATATTTTTTTATTTTTTAGTAGAGCTGGGAGTCTCACTAGAGATGGGTTGCCCAGGCTAGTGTTAAACTCTATGCCTTAAGCAGTTCTCCTACCTTGGACTCTCAAAGCACTGGGATTATAGGCATGAACCACTGCACCCAGCCACATATCATCTTTAAAACACACTCATCTTGGGCTGAAAGCTTATATGCACAATTTATCTCAAAACACATATATTTTATAGTCAGAATTTATAATTCAGAATAAAAGAATTTTTTATACCTCAGTTTTCTTGTTTGTGAAGTGGGGAAAATAATGCCAACTTCGGGGGTTGTTATGAGGATTAAAAGACTTATCATATGTAAAGCCCTTGGGAAAGCACATAATGCTCAGTAAATGTGATGATACTGGTGATGATGACGGGGCTTTCAGATAACCACTTACGCGGGCTGTCTTACCAACGGGTAGGGGGAGAGTCTAAGCAATGCTTAAGGCCTAAAACTTACACCACAAGCTTAATAATCTTCTTTCTTTGACAACTCTCATTTAGCCTTGCTTGTCAACAGCTATGAAGGTCACTGTCCAAGAGACTTGATAGGGTTAAAGAGAGCAGGGACAAATTAACCTGAGAAATATAACAGGTTTAAATTTGTACTGTGAAATATAGTTTCAGCCACTTTAAGATTTTCACTATTCTATTGAGGGATTGAGTTTTTGATGGCTTCTTTTGTTGTGTCCAACGTTAAAAATTCTCCTTAGATCTACTACCAGGTAAAAGACCCAAGCAAAATACTGAGAAAGGAGTGGTGGGGGAAGAGAGAGAGAGAGAGAAGGATGGACGGAGGGAGGGAAGGAGAGAAAAGAAACAGAGGAGAGGAAAGGAGGGAAGGGAGGAGAAAAGAACAAAGGAGAAGAAAGGAAAAAATGGCTTTTAAAATCCATAATCCAAACTTTTCTTCTCAAGTCACAAAACCATATTGCCTGATATTGGCTCCTAAAGACCATGGAGCTGCTGATTCAGAGATAGAACTTCAAAATCAACCTCATAAAATACACCAATATCTCCGTTTTAAAAATCCCTGTTGCTCTGAACCTGAAAGTGGCAAGTCCTAGTCCTGCGTAGTGAACTTACTGTAGTTTATCAGTCACACTGCTTCTCCTCCATTTTCAAATAAAAAATATCAAGGTACAAAACATATCTCCATTTCTCTACTGGGAAGTAGTGAAGACAAGTGAGATGCTGGCTTTGCAGGGTTCAATGAGCTCTGCCAAATACCATTGCAGATTTGTGCCATTTAATTTTACTTTTTAAAATAATTTTTTTCAAAAATCCTTTACTTTTCAATAAATTGGTGTCAGGTGGTTGAAAAACTGTAGCTTGAATATCTGGGGATAATAATTTTTTCTTCTATGCCAGGCAGTGCCCTTACTCTGGCAGCACAGCCTTCTTCATTCCTCTCTGAAGACCTGATTCCTTAAATCAGGCATCAGTATGTTTTTGGAGCACAGGATGGAAAAAGATTAAGTGTCAAATGGAATCACACAAGCTGAACAGCAAAGCAGACAGCAGGAGAAGAATCAAACAAGGTATATGCTGGGATGGAGAGGTTACCTTTTCTCCCTTTTCTCCTAGATCGCCCTTCTCACCCCGTGGACCAGGGAAGCCCTGTAAGATAAAAAGCAAACCAAAAAGATCTATTGGTGTAATAGTGGCAAAATCATCTAGAAACAAATATTTTAGGATTTTACATTTCTGAACTTAAATATAACACAAAGTGGCTCACCAGTCTTAAGACTGGTGAGATAATAAAGCAGTGCTTAGAAATGTAAGTTTTCTAATGTCTCAATTATCTATACACAACAGGTTGCTTGCTTTTTCTTTTAAGACATAGAGAGTAGAAAGAATATCAGGATACTAGTTTGAATTCTTGGAAGTTCACTGATTTGTGCAGATTTGGGCAAATCACTTACCTCTCTGCATTTTAGTCCCTTGACTGTAAAATGGGGTTAATGATATCCACCAGACAGCTGTTGTGAATGTTAAATGTGGTGATGCACTACAAAGTACCAGAATGATGCCTGCCCATAACAGGTGCTCATAAACAGTAACTAGTATTTGTATTACTTTTAGTATTCTCATTATTCATGTAATACAGGATGAGCAGTGATTGTGTCTAGAGGCATTTGCTTTTGACATTCTCTATTTTCACAGAAACATATTAGCATAAGATATATAGGGACTAAATGCTAAAGGAAAAAAATACTGCCTAACTGCTTTGAGGAAAAAAACATATCATTCTGTAAGGATAGCATGTGAGAAGTATGTTGATTTTATGCATATTTTTCATAAATAGGTCATACTGATGTTAAGAGTATCCTCAACTTGGGAAAGTATTTTGAAGTGCCACTATCCACTACTAGTTATTAATTTTATACAAGATAATTGTGTTTTTTTGCTTTTCTGTTTTATCTCATGCAAACACTACTGTATATTGCTGTTTACATGCACAGCAATATATGTTCTATGCATACCTATATGCACAGAAAATAAGTATTCTTTTTGTTATTGATGATGGAGACCATCAACATCTATTATAATAGGATGATGTTTATTGTACTTATTACTTACATCAAGACCAGGCTCTCCATCTTTCCCCTGCCAAAGAACCATAGTAGCTACATTAGTGTTTCTAAGTTTTATGAATAGATTATAGATTTATTTAAGGCTGTCTGAACATGCAACACTAGTACTAGAACAACTGCTTCAGAAATGTGAAAAAGATTCTCATTTGGATTAGTGACTGTTAGTGTTGCAGTTAAGTGTCATGAAAATTTTATATGATATATTGGGTTAAATAGACTAATATTCTGCTGGTGTTTAAGGCTTGGTAGCTAAGTTATCAGTCCAGGAGTTACACTGAAAGCAAAAATACTGTTTAGTTGATTAGTGACTGTTAGTGTTAAAGTTAAGGGTCATGAAAATTTTATATGATATATTGGGTTAAATAGACTAATATTCTGCTGGTGTTTAAACCTTGGTATCTAAGTTACCAGTCCAGGAGTTAAGTTAAAAGCAAAAATACTGTTTAGTTGAATTAAAAACATACCAGCACTAATAGAGGATATGAATCAATGCTACTTTAATTCGATAACTTAGTAGTTAGCTCACAAATGAGTAAAGAATGTAGAAATACAGTTTTAATTTGGCTAGATATGCATACCATGTACGAAGGGTGTGAAGATTGCAACTGAAAAGCTGTGTTTTTAAGTAAGCTTTGTAAATGAATAATCCCCAAATATTTTTTTAAAAGTCATAAGACTGTTAGGCAAGAATGATAAATTCACTCCCATGGTGCAGATTATCATGGTGATGACCCTATTGTGTCATAGTATGGATCCATCCAAAGTTCACGAAAGGCTACTTTGATTCCATCAATTAGATTTTGAAACCTATTTCAAAATCAGCATCTTTTTTTTTATTTTTTATTTTTTTTTTATTTAGCACTGAGGTAATCATGGACTATGTTTGTTATTTCAATTCATAAAAAGCATGTGGGAGATATGGAAAGGTTAAAACCCTTAATGCAACATACGCTTCTACTGTCATCCTACCCTATCTTAATGAATCAATTATAATCATTCCCAAGATGATATTTTTAAAGCAAATCAGAGGTCTCAATATGAATTCTGTGTAATTAAGAATTTTCAGGCCAGGCGCAGTGTCTCATGCCTATAAATCGAGCACTTTGAGAGGCCGAGAAGGGCGGATCACTTGAGGTCAGGAGTTTGAGACCAGCCTGGTCAACATAGTGAAACCCCATCTCTACTAAAAATACAAAAATTAGCTGGGCGTGGTGGCACACATCTGTAATCCCAGCTACTCGGGAGGCTGAGGCAGGAGAATCGCTTGAACCTGGGAGGTGGAGGTCGCAGTGAGCCAAGATCGCGCCACTGCACTCCAGCCTGGGCAAAAGAGCAAGACTCCATCTCAAATAACCATAATAATAATAATAATAATAATAATAATAATGATAATAATTTTCAGAAGACAGAACGTTATCAGTGTTCTATGTTCTGAAGATCATTTGTCATCATAGTAATTTAGAAAGTCAGAAACATCAAGTCGTCATAAATATCAATGTAATTTGGGGAATACTTTTTACTAGCAAGAGTCATTTTAGTAAATAGTCTATAGGAACAGATAAAGTCTGAAGAAGGCTGTTTTCAATGAAGCTTCCACAGCCATTTTTGGATCCAGTGACCTTCCAAGGAAGTACCAGTTATGAGTGTCCAGTCAGATGACGTAGGGAGGGCATCTTCTGACAGGATCCTGTTCTCGGGTTAATAGTTTATTCTAGAGACAGACTCTGATCCTGTCAATCTCGTGAAGTGCCTGGATGTGTCTGTACATGATAAGAGGGTGAGATACTGAATATGACCTATTTGTGAAGGACATGGAATTACTGGATTTATAGGTAATGAGTGGATTGCTGTTTCTTCTCTAACATTAGTCTGCCACAAGGGAAGGGTTAACCGTGTCAGTGACTGGTCATCTATGCATGCGGAAGGTGGGGATGTGCATGTGACCGGGAACTCACAGGCAGCCCATAGGGCCCTCTTGGTCCAGGCTCTCCCATAGCTCCTTTTTCACCCTAAAATGAAAAGTAGAAAGTTCAAATCATACACACACACCCACATTCACACACTTCCTCTCATGCCCTATGTCTAAAGCCTCTATTTCAAGGACCATTCTATGAAAATCTCAAAGATTTAGGCTCTTACAGAGTCACTGCCAGTGATATTTGGAAAGTAATCCACAGTAGCATCTTTTGCTAAATCACCTTTGAAAGAGGGGCGGCACAAGATTGCCGCTGGCCAGCTGTGCAAAAGCATTTGCATATCTCAGATGCCGTACTTGGGTTTTTTTGGCATTAGTATGAAGCATTTATTTGTTACTAATTATTTTGTTAGCACCTTTAAATGTAAGAATAAAGTGCCATTCTGTTTTGAGACAGGGTCTCCCTCTTTCATCCAGGCTGGAGTGTAGTGGTATGATTACGGCTCACTGAAACCTTAAACTACTGGGCCTGAGCGATCCTCCCACCTCGACCTCCTGAGTAACTGGGACTACAGGTAAGCACCACTATGCCCAGGTAGTTTTAAAATTATTTGTAGTGATGGAGGTCTTACTATGTTGTCCAGGCTGGTCTTGAACTCTGGGGCCTCAAGCAGTCCTCCCACCTTGGACTCCCAAAGTGTTGGGATTACAGGCTTGAACCACAGTGCCTGGCCTGAAATGCCTTTTCTTCTATCAAAAAACAATTATTCAGGGAAGCCCTTCCTCGATTGCCCACCTCCTACCACCAGCTATATTTTATTTCACAGCCCTTAGACACCAGAAGATGCATAAAGTTCGTGACCTGCTTATTCTCTGCTACCCTCACTAGAATACACACATGAAGGTTCTGGGGCCTCTAGCTTTGTTGTTCCCTATAGCATCCTCATAGCTTAGAATAGTGTTAGGCACATCAGGAAGTGTTTGTTGAATGAATGAGTCAAAGCAAATCTATATAATCATGTACACAGTTTGCTTCCTTTCTGAAAAAGAGGATTTATGTATTTTTTATGTATTTTTTATTCTGAGACACAGTCTTGCTCTGTTGCCCAGGCTAGAGTATAGTGGCACAATCTCGGCTCACTGCAACCTCCACATCCCGGGTTCAAGCAATTCTCCTGCCTCAGCCTCCCGAGTAGCCGGGATTACAGGCGCCTGTCACCACGCCTGGCCAATTTTTGTATTTTTAGTAGAGACAGGGTTTCACCATGTTGGCCAGGCTGGTCTGGAAGTCCTGTCTTCAGGTGATCCACCCACCTGAGCCTCCCAAAGTGCTGGGATTACAGAGGTGAGCCACCGTGCCTGGCCTGAAAAAAAAGGGTTTAAAAACTTTCAACCCTTCTGAATGCTAGATAAGGTAGGTATATGTTATCTTCCTCACTTTCTCTCCAAGTGCCTATTTAAATAGAATAGCTTTCCCCATCTTATATGATATTCTTGAATGCTTATAAAGAATAAGTATTATTGGAGGTAATCTTGTGAATAGAATAATTGTGATGTTAAAGAAAGGGATGTTCTGTATTTCAAATGGTGTTTTCTGCTGCTGCCATCTCCAAATTGAAGTGTTTGTCAGTACTTAGTATGAAAACTTCAGGAGTAATGGTGATTTTATATAAGTAGCCAAACAGAAAATCTTATCTCCTTTTATCATACCCCTGAAGGAGTTTAAAGGTTAGCAAATCTTTTTTCTTGGCAAAACACCAGGTTCAGCTGATAACAGTGCCTGCAGAGCTACCTGATATGCCTGTGTTTCTCCAGATTCCCATGTGAGCAAATTTCAGGTCCCTGTTGGCATTTTCTTTATCTAAATTTGAGGGGTCAGTGGAACTAATTAACACTGTCACCTACAGGCAATATGGTACAGGTGAGATTACTGAAAATAAATATGATAAAAGCTTAAACTTTTTACTCATTATTACTTTATGGTGATTACTAAAGCAGAAGCAATTGCACTCAGCACAGTGGCCAGATTTTAAATGAAACATTAAACATTTTTTTAAGAAGGGAATTTTCTTAACTTGTTAAGAGACACCTATAAAAAATATCTACAGCATAGGACTTAATAGTGAAATATCAAAAACAATCCCTTTAAGAATGGAGCAAGGGATGGGTGCAGTGGCTTATGCCTGTAATACCAGCACTTTGGGAGTTCAAGGCAGGAGGATCATTTGAGGCCAGGAGTTTGAGACCAGCCTGGGGACCAAGGTAAGACCCTATCTCTAAAAAAACAACCAAACAAAGGAACTAGTAAGATGTGTGTGTGTAAGTCTGTGTCTGTCTGTCTGTCTATCTATCTATCTATCTATCTATCTATCTATCTATCTATCTATCTATCATCTATCTATCTATCTGTCTGTCTGTCTATCTATCTATCTGTCTGTCTGTCTATCTATCTATCTATCTATCTATCTATCTATCTATCTATCTATCTATCATCTATCTAATCTATCTCTGTGTGTGTGTGTGTGTGTGTGTATGTGCGCATGCACGCACGTGTAGTGGGAGGTGGGGGTTTTAAGGAAAGATCCACATAAACTGGACTGTGTCTAGTTTGAAATAACTGAAACAACTCCACAGATTAGAATGGGTCTAATTGGAAAGATCTCCATAGATTATTTTGATATAACCATTCCCTTCTCCGCTGAGAACCTTGGCTTTGTCTTATTCTTAAAACAAATATACTATGGCTTATTTGAATAAAGCTGTCACTAAAACAGGTGTCTGTGAAATTCCTCTTCTAGAACAGCCACCCCCAATAATTACTTCAAGCTATTAACGACAATTCCATTTCTCTTGCCAGTTACTGCCTCAGAAGTGGACAGCTGACCCAGTGCTGGCAAATGAGGTGTCAGGGGCATCAGCCAGGAAGCTCTGGGGAAGCTTCCTCTCTGCTCAGGAAGAGACATGTGGGTAGTCTCTCCGTTCTCTGCTGGTGTCTCACTAGAGAGGATGCTTGGACCACTGTGCCCAGCTTGTCTATGGTCAGAAGACAAAGCCAACATGTAGAAAAGGGCTCCCAAGCAAAACCTAGAGTCCTCCTTTGAATATTTTCTTATATAAAATAATGTATTTCTTTATTGTGTAAGCCATTTTGAATTTGGGTTCTGTCACTTAGAGCCAAAAAGCATTCTAATGATTCCAGCTTGAAAGCTTTTAGGAATGAAATATTAACACAGGGATTTGAATGTGCAACTCCTTTTCCTGGATTAAGCAATTCCAAAAGTATTTTTCAACCTCTCAAGCTTAATACACTTTATAGAGTTCCAAAGCCAAATGAAGAAATCAGCTAAGGTAGGGAGGATCAGGTGCTTGCAGAGTGGAATATTAATGCTGTCAGTCATACACTTGAAAATGTTTGAATAACATTGCCTGTCAAATGCATGGTTTCTTTTAGGTTGTTCTAATTTCATTTGGGTTCTTTAATTTGCACGTCAACACTGAGGCATTATCCTAGAACACCTCCCTTTGCTGATTCTGACTTCTTTAAAATTTGAAACTTTTTTGAGAGAATCCAGATGGCGCCTCCATCAATTAACTCTGAGAATCACACTCCAGTTCAGCACTTCCAGTGAGGGGCACTTGGAGAGTACTGATATATGATCCAGCTAAGATAGTTAACATCCTGAGTAAATACAAGAGTAACACTTTACACTGCGCACCATTTGACTGAAACTATGCCTTCAAATTCTTAGCAATTTCATTTGCTCTTCTGGTTAATTCTGCTCCAGCACTGAGACGTGATACTCTTGTGACATTGTGGAGCTATCGGAAGTAGCAGCTGATTTACCACATGGTAAACCCTCTTGAGCCCCAGGGCATTCTGCCAAAAGACTGCCTGAGATTTGCTGCTCCATTTTTAGTACATGGGCTGGGTTTCTTCATACAATGCTTGAAAGCCAATATGCGTCAGCAGCGTTGAGGCTTTTTAGCTTTTAAATATTTTTAATTAAGATGGTCTTCAGAAGTCATTGGTTTGATCTTAGAAATATGACAATTGCACATTCAGATTATACGTTCCCTTAGAACTCATCTCTTTCTACAAGCATTCTTGGATAAAGCCAATCTTCATCACTGTACAGCTTGTACTATTTGTATTATTTTGGCCTCATTCTCTGGTTATTTCCTGCATGCATTTTTCTTTCTCTGCAATTAGACTGTAAACTCTTCTAGGTCAAGAAGAATAGCTGCTTTTTTTTGCAGCATTCAGTATATATTAATAAATATTAATAAAAATATTAATAAAAGACGGGGAGATAATTAATCAATTATAATGGTATTTATTATTCAATGTACTGAAGCAAATGAGCAAAATAGGCTTTGCCTAAGTGGGAGGAGAGTGTTTCCATCTCACACTAGCAGTGATACCATGCTTTGCACATCGTAGCATTTGGTAAATATTTCCCAAATGAATGAGACCACTCTACAGAACACAGAATTATAGAGTTGGAAGGTATGTTAAAGAAATGACTACTGGCCCTCTTTTTTTAAAGCAAATTATCCCAGACTGATGAAATCTATCTAGTTTTTAAAAGACCACAAACTTGCACAGTGAATCATTCCAACATTTTGAAGCCCTCACTATTAAAATACTTTCTTTATATCCTGTCCTGGATGGTAGGGAAATTGATGACATAATTTCACTCAGACACACAAAAATACTTCTAAGATTTCCAAGGTGAGGAAAATAAATAGTGGGAGAAAAAGAGAAAGAGAGAGAGAGCGCGAGAGCGCGCGAGCATGAGAGGGAGAAGAGAGAAGAAAGTTTCAGGTAGATGACCATTTATCTTCCATTCTGAATGTCTTTTTTTTTTTTCCCCAAAAGATATGGAAACGTGGCCTAGCAATAGAGAGGTTAGTGAAAGGTTTTTGTTTTATAATGCACTGAAATTATTTCCTTATGGTTAAAGAAAAACAGCCTATCCTTTAGCTTTAAAAAAGGGGAGCATGTGTAACTGTGCAGAAAAGAATACTTAGGTTTCATTATTTCCTTTGGAAAAAAGTTATAAGCTACTCTGAATGAGTACAGTAGCTTTATATAAAAGATTATCAACCAGAATACATACTCCTGGAAATTTTAGCTCCATTGACTTCAACTTTCTGGATGAAGGCCAAATGAAAATATCTTCCTTATGGGTGAAGGAAGAATCATCTGAGCTATTTATTTTAGCTATGTAAATGTATGTGTTGTTTTTATTAAGGCAGCCATGTCCTATTTTATGCTCTGTGGTTTTCTTCTCTCAATATTAGGACTCTGAATAGAACTTAGGATGGTATCTCTTTTTATTTAATATTAGATAGCCCTTTATTTCTTCTGAAAAATGAACAGTTCAACTAATATGGAAAAGCCATGCTCTGTGTTTTCTTTAGTACAAGCTTCATAACCTCAGCAACAACTTACTCTTTCTCCTTTGGGACCTGCAGGGCCATGGGGTCCCATAGGACCATCTGTTCCCTAAAAAAAAAAAAGATAATATGAGATATATCACAAGGCTGCAGGAATAGCAGTTATAATTTATCCTGAATTTTTCCTAGGTGAATGGTGCCTAAGAATACCAGTAAGACAACTCATCTCCTTTCAAAGTGCTTCATGCTTGATTATTTCAGGCCAGCGGTTTTCAAGAAACTCATGCAAAAAGGATGAATTATATAACTGCATGTTTCAATGAAAGGTACACACAAAAAGCTGCATATCATATTTAATTATATCTTTTTCCTCTGACTAAATAAAGCATCATTGGCCGGGTGCAGTAGCTCAAGCCTGTAATCCCAGCACTTTGGGAGGCTGAGGTGGGTGGATCATCTGAGGTCAGGAGTTTGAGGCCAGCCAGCCTGGCCAACATGGTGAAACCTTGTCTCTATTAAAAACACAAAAATTAACTGGGCATGGTGGTGGGCACCTGTATTCCCCTACTCAGGAGGCTGAGATTGTAGTGAGCCAAGATCGTGCCACTGCACTCCAGCCTGGGCAACAGGGCGAGACTCGGTGTCAAAAAATAATAAATAAATAAATAAATAAATAAATAAATAAATAAATAAATAGAGCATCTTCACTTTGCCCCATAATCCTAAGAAGAAAAATGTAATTGTTTTTCCTTCCTGTCACCTTTTCCTCAAGCCCTTCTCTACACTCACTGCCACCCTTAGCCGGGCAAGCTCTGAACTCTTGTTTTCAGCTGTTTAAGAGGCTTGAACAGTTACACAAGTAGAAGAAAATTATGAAGCAAATGAAAACAGTGTGTAACTGTTCAATCCAAACTTTCTGCAGCTCTCTTGGGGGCAGCAGGCACTTACAGGAAAGGAATCATTCTTATAGATGCTGCGGCAGTGGCTGGTCACTAGGCTTACAACTCACAAACCAGGCAGCCAAGATGAACTTAAATATAGAATTCCCTTTTGTACCCCTGGTTAGTTCAGGATTAGGATTTCTGCGGGAGAAGAGGTGATATTTGAATGAATGTAAGAACGCTGAGGTCCAGTGAAAGTCATGACTGCCTGAAATAAGTTTTTAGAATTGAAAAGATGGGAATTTCTTTTAGATTCTTAAAACTGTAGCCAGGACTTCGAGTATACTTGCTCATTTCCAGGATGACTATGCTTAGATTCACACAAAATGGATTATAATATTTGCAAATGTAGGAACTATTTCAGCATGATTTTTCTTTAGTATTCCCATTTCTGTTCTACTATTCTGGTTTATTCTGTTAGAGCCTTGTGTTAAGAAAGAATTCAGAGTTTAAAATTCATTCTAATGTTGCCGAATTCTCATCAGTTTAACTGATATTTTTCTTACTGCCTGATTTCAAAGTTCACGTTCAGAAGACTTCTAAATACTGAGTATTTGTGGCTGAAATTTAAGAGCTGGAGCTGTTAAGAACCAAAGAAAAAAAGACAAAATGACAGAAGACAGACAAGTCATTTCTATGAACAGAAATTGAAAGTTAGTGCCAAGGAAGAAGTTACATTTGATGGGCATAAGTCTAAAAGGAAAAGCAAGTTACAATAATTTCACATTATTTTAATCTTTTCAGAGGGCCGCTCTCATGGAATTGTAGGGGATGTCTGTCTACTGGTTCTGGAAAAATTCATCTGGGATTCTAAGATAATGAAGCCCATTAGTCTGGTCATTCTTCCCACCTAGCAAATTATCCAGACTTGAACACAAGCTTCAGAAAGACGTTCTGGCAGTTTAGCTGTTCTCCAGACAGAGTTGCAACCGTCCTCTGTCCACCTTTCCCCTCTTTGCGGCCATCTTTGTCCACCTTCCCCTTTTACGACAGCCCTAAGTACACCCTCATCATTTGATGAGAGGACATGGAGTAAAGGGGTCTGTCCTGAAGTGCACGATTCACAGCCACAAAACGTCAGAACAAGACAAGGGACTGACTCACCCGGGATCCTGGCTTTCCGTCTAAGCCAGATGCTCCCTGTGTGATTTGGTTGGTAGCAGGGTTGGTGGGTGTAACACGAATGACAAGAACAGAGATTAGTATGAGGTACCGATGAACAAATGTAACACTTCAAACAACATAATACGCAGTTACAGGGTTCTGGGATGAATATCACATTGCTACAAATTGTTAGTTAAAAAAAAAAAAAACCACATGACAAACACCCCACAGATGATGGCATTTTAATGACATTTCTATTTGACAAATTCTTATTTAGAAATCAAGCTAATGAAGTGTATAAACTGGGCTACAAAGTAGTTACTCATAACAGTCGCAGGCTTCTATCTAATTTCCCTATGAAATTCATTTTCTAAAGACTGTGCTGTTCACCATATATTTCTTTAGGTTCTGAAGAGAAAAGAATGGGCTAAAAAAAGGGCTCATTATAATAATCAATCAAATTTAGCATTTCAGAGAGAAAAAAAGAGCTCTGGTTATACTTGTTAAAATAGTGTTTATGAATAAGAAATGCAGGGTTTTCACATGTTAGGATGACTCTTGGTGGATTTTACATCAACAATAATTACTCATTGTTTTCTCATTTGTTCCTACTGTTCACACTACCTTCCACTAGAGGGACTTCTAGGAAAAGGAAAAAGCCAGAAAACAGTTGGTGCGACCAAGCAAAAAATAACTTCCAAACTAAATTGTTTCTCGATTCCTTCAAATAATCTTTGCATCAAAGCCTGACTGGGGAAGTAACTTTAAAAATTTAATGTTCTCAGACAATGCACGCTTTTCTTCACTTTGAACTCTAGGCTACACATAAATAGTGTATGATTTAAAAATAGCATTTTCAATGTTTGTTTCAAGAATAAGCACAATTATTTCTTTGATACAGCTTTTGTGTCTCAAAGCCCAAGTATTTATTTACAGTCCTTTAAAAATATTGGTTAGATCAAGGAGTATTTAAGAAAAAAAATGCACTGGCCCTAAAAATTCTCTTGTCAAGATTGCAGAACTATTTCCCAATTTTATGCTTCAGATGCAGTTAATAATACAAAATGGAAAAAAAAAATCGATTCCAGATGAAAACTCTACCAATGATGTTATTCTATATACATGTTGGGTATTTTGAGTTTTTATTTTAAAATTTCTTCTGTATAATCCTATTATGAGCCATACTATAACTGCAAAATACATACTTTTTTTTTTTGAGATGGAGTTTCACCCTTGTTGCCCAGGCTGAAGTGCAATGGCACAATCTTGGCTCACTGCAACCTCCATCTCCCAGGTTCAAGCGATTCTCCTGCCTCAGCCTCCCGAGTAGCTGGGATTACAGGCATGCGCCTTCACACTCAGCTAATTTTTGTGTTTTTAGTAGAGACAGGGTTTCATCATGTTGGCCAGGCTGGTCTCAAACTCCTGATGTCCACTGATCACCTGCACTTTGGGAGATCACTGGCTGGTCTCAAACTCCTGATCTCCACTGATCACCAGCACTTTGGGAGATCACCGATCTCCCAAAGTGCTGGGATTACAGGTGTGAGTCACCATGCCTGGCCTACGTACGTCTTTTTTTTTTTTTTTTTTTTTTTTGAGATGGAGTCTCGCACTGTTGCCTAGGCTGGAGTGCAGTGGTGTGATCTCAGCTCACTGCAACCTCCACCTCCCAGGTTTATGCCATTCTCCTGCCTCAGCCTCCCAAGTAGCTGGGACTACAGGCGCCCGCCACCACACCCGGCTAGTTTTTTGTATTTTTAGTCGAGACAGGGTTTGTTAGCCAGGATGGTCTTGATCTCCTGACCTGGTGATCCACCCGCCTCGACTACCCAAAGTGCTGGGATTACAGCATGATCCACTGCGCCCAGCCTTACATATGTCTTTTGTTAGCAATAATTACAATAAAAATGTATATTGTTCTTCGTTTGTTTAAGGTTAGCATAGGTACAGCTATTAGCTAAATGTTGCATAAAAATTATGAATAGCCCTAAATTTTAAATTAGGGCAGACTTTAAATAAATCAGATTGAAAGTTTAAATAAAATAGAAAATCCAAACTTTCTTTTGCCTTTTGATACTTTCTTCAGTTACCATTATTATAACATTTGAAAATAAATGTAGGCCAGGCATAGTGGCTCACATCTATAATCCCAGAGCTTTTAGAGGCCGAGGCGGGAAGATTGTTTGAGGCCATGAGTTAGAGATCAGCGTGGGAAACATGGCAAGACCCAATCTCTATAAAATATTTAAAAAAATAAATCACTTGAGCCCAGGACTTTGAAGCTGCAGTGAGCTATGATTGTACCATTAGACTCTAGCCTGGTGAGAGTGAGACGCTGTCTCAAAAAAAGAAAAAAGAAAATAAATGGCGAAATTGTAATAATTTTACACTGATACTATTATTTATCTACCTAGAATGCTGAATTAATGACTCACATAAATTATAGAGGTTTTATGCCTGTAGTCCATTGATCTAATTGGTGTGATTAAACCTATATTCTAGGCTGGGCTGGTGGCTCATACCTGTAATACCAGCACTTTGTGAGGCTGAGGCGGGTGGATCACCTGAGGTCAGGAGTTTGAGACCAGCGTGTCCAACGTGGTGAAACCCCGTCTCTACTAAAAATAGAAAACTTAGCCAGGCATGGTGGTGCGCACTTGTAGTCCCAGCTACTCGGGAGGCTGAGGTACAAGAATTGCTTGAACCCGGGAGATGGAGGTTGTGGTGAGCCGGTGACAGAGAGAGCCTCTGTCTCAAAAATAAATAAATTAAATAAACCTATATTTTAATACAAGGTTTATATCAGTCATTCAATAAATAAATACTTACTGACCATCTACTATATGTGGGATGTATGTAAGGCACTTGCTATCAACTGGCATAAAGTATAATACCCATGGCAAAAATGAAATAAGTGGTCATCAGCTTGTTTTTCCTCCCACATTTCAAATTGTGTATAAACTATATTCTGCTACTGATTTTATGTCATATTTTACTCATGTAATCTATATTGTTCTTTGTTGATTTGTATCTGTATTCACCTAATAGGAAGCATATTAAAGGCTTGAAATTAAAGCCTCATAATAACAATTTTTAAAAAATCTCCATTTAGTTGTTGTGGAAAGAAGGCTGACATAAAGAAAACGAAGAGCCAGGGGGAGATTCCTTCTTCATGAAAAGTAAAAGTCTCTAAACAACTGCAAAATACTTCTTTATACTACTCACTATTGCCACAAGAACCTCATAATAGGGAATTTTCAAAACGAACAACATAAAACACGTAGAACATGATATGATTGATTAATGTAAGGAGCCACAGCATTGACCTCACGCCATCAACAATGGCCAATTCCATACCTGCCACCAACTGAGGGCTACAGTTTTTGGTATCCAAGGAGAAAAAACAATTGAGGAGGCATTTTAAACTGCACTAGACTATAAAAAGTGTTTGGGAGAAACTATGAAATAATGAGCACAACACTTTTAAAAGAAGGGGATAATGGGAGAAGAATTGTCAGCCCTAAAAGAGGAAGGTTGGCATGTATGTAATTGAAGAATGACAGGACATTTATAGCATTGTTTTTTGCGGGTCTTCCTCTTACAGAAAAGCAGGCATCAGAGACACAAAACTGAGCTGAGCTCTCCTCGAACATAATGTGTTTCCTAATTACAGAAACCTCAACAGTACGAGCTGCTGAGTAAACTAGAGTTATCACGTAGGGTAGAAAGAAAAATCTGAGATTTGCACTAAAATGGAAAGTTTTCTTTACTTACTGGAAGACCAAGGGGTCCTCTGTCACCCTTTTGACCTGGTTCACCCTTCAATCCTTTAACACCATTTAACCCTGGTTCACCCTAAATGCAAAAGCAAATGCCAATTTTGGTTGCTATTATGGGTGTTTAAACTGTGAGAGAAGAGAGCCAGTCTCTGAAATAGTTGCAGATTCCAGTTTTAGGAAACAGCAGAGTCAGGCTAGATTTGTCTTGCACCAAATATTAATTTTTAAAGTTAAAATTAGTTACTAAACTGACATCAACAATTAATATTCTAGAAATCAAAATTCCCAGGAAAGTGTGCTCCTTACAATAAAAATATGTATGGTTGATTTCCTAAATTTTTCAGTTCTATCTCAAGGAAATTCATGTTATACCACATTTTTATGATCAAATAATTCAAAGACAATCGAGTGGAGGATGCTGAAGAAGATTCAGTAGAAGAAAAAAAAAAAAAACCCACTCTGCTGGAATGGAAAACTGGAATATGCAGGACAGGGTTATAGACAGATATTTTAAGCCTTTAAGCATGTTGTCCAACGGAATGAACTAAAAATGTAGCAGCTGATGTTTGAAGTAATGCCATTTAGCAAGTCCTCATTCACTGCCCTTGCCAAGTCAGATCCCTACATGGACTAATCAACAAATCAGCAATCCCAGGAGAAAATATGAAGATCAAAGAACTTAAATGTAGTTTTACTAACTATCCATCTGCCCAATGTTAGAATAAAGAAAGTATGAATTTAACTCAGGGTGACATTATAAAAGCCATGGTAAATGGTAAATTATTGACTCTATTTTTAAAAACCAAGAAATACAGTACACCTATTTTCCATCAGTAACAACATGTTAGATATCAAGTTCTGACCTGTATAATTTTTGACTTTTATATGTAGACATTAATTTGCCAAGAAAATCTTGAAGGACTTGTGAATGAGAGATTATTTCAGACACAAATGCCCTATAGAGTCTTGCTGGGTTGGGACGGGAAAGGGAAGAGGCTATACTGACATGGCAGAAGGGGTTTTTAACCTGGGTAATATTTACTCAACTTGCCTAATGATGTAAGTCAGTGTAGCGCTTGTTAAACATAAAGAGTTCAGGGCCCCACCCAGTCCATGGTAGCACAGAAATGGGTATCTTTAATAAGCCTCCCAGGTGATTCCTATCAGGAAATTCTGGGAAACACTGAGCTAGATTCATGCATGGAATCATGTTATGTATTCGAACTTTCAAAGGGGGTCGCAAAGTGATAAACACATTGGCATGGCATTAAGAAACTCCAGGATTTTGAAGATAGGATGTTTGCTGCGCAGCCACTCTAGCAAGTCCAAATGTGCCGGTTGTTGGTAAGATAGTATCCTGGGAATTCTACTGATTGAGGACACGATATTAAGGCCAAGGCTCAATAGTCAGTGACTAATTTGAGATCTGTGGCTTTGCATGTGTGTGTACTTTCAGCAAGTGGTCTTGAGGTACTTGGGGTTAAATCCAGTGACAGAAAGACCAAATATCAAGTCTGGACCTAAGTTCTAGTCCCAGATGTGTCATGAACTAGCTGTGTAATTTGGGGCAAATAACCTAAACTGTTTGGGCCTGTAGTTTATCATCTATGAAATCAGGGAACTTGCATAGATATCGATGAGGTCTTTTCAACTTTATAATATCTGAAACTTATGATTTAAGTAAGAATTGAAGTTATATGGACAAAATAAATTGTTGCATTCTAGAAATCAAAAGCTTCTTGGGCATCTCCTAATCCAACTGTGATGGCATATCTGAATCACTTATGAAATTAAATATCTTGGTGACATTATCCTTAGTCATTATGACCAGGCTGGTTTTTGTTGGCATCTTAAAATCCAAGAGTAGGGCTGGGCGTGGTGGCTCAAGCTTATAATCCCAGCACTGTAGAAGGCCAAGGCAGGCGGATCACCTGGGGTCAGGAGTTCAAGACCAGCGTGGCCAACATGGTGAAACCTCGTCTCTACGAAAAATACAAAAATTAGTCGGGCATGGTGGTGGGTGCCTGTAATCCCAGCTACTTGGGAGGCTGAGGTAGGAGAATCACCTGAACCCAGGAGGCAGAGGTTGCAGTGAGCCGAGACTGCACCATTGCTCTCCAGCCTGGGAAACAAGAGCGAAATGCCATCTCAAAAAACAAACAAACAAACAAACAAACAAAAATCCAAGAGTAGGAAGCACTGATTTTGTCCAGATGGGGAAAAAGGCTGAGAGAGATTAAACAACTACTAAGATCACAAAGCTGATAGATGGTGCTCCTGTTTTCTGACTCCCCCAGATAGTACTCTCACCCCAAAGTCTAATTGGTGCTTCTGAGATACTGTTAACTCACTAGCCTTATTGGAAGGTAAGGTAGTCTAAGAAGAATAAAGAGGCGTGAACTTCTCCCATTCCTGGGTGTCACCTGCCTGACTGGGAAAAGGAAACCCAGATTTTCTGAGTCAGACCAATACCTGCCACCATCCCTAGAGCTGCGTGGGCTAAAGAGAGCCAGCCTCCCCCGAGGAGACAGTGGCCTGCCTCTGGGCTTTGTGACGCCTAGTGCCAACATTGCCTTTATGTGTCTTCCCAGCCCCTACCTGTTAGTTGCACCAGCTCACTACTGAGGCACTCTCAGGAGTTCATGAACCTTCTTTCAAGCAGGCTTGAGGATGAGTTATAGAATTTTTCTGTTCAGAACCAAGTATCACATAGCAACAATAACAGCTGTCTTTTGATATTTATCAACAGCTGCACCAGATATTTTGCTAAGTGTTTTATAATCATACCTCATTAAGTTATCACAGCACTGTAAGGTGAGTTACCCAGTTGAGTAAATAAAGGATCAGAGAGGGTCCATAATCTGCTCAAAGTGATACAGCCTGGCAAGATTGAGATTAGAATATAAGTCTTTATCACATATGTTCCCCGAAAGGGGGAGCTTGTCTTTCAGGGCTTATTTTAATCTGCTGGGATGTCCTCTCGGTCTAGACTAAGGCAAAGGACAGGTGGAGACCATCTTCATCATGCAAGCTACACTAATTCTGACAAAGAGGAGCTTTTCTCCCATGTTCTCTTTTTAACCCAAAAGTATAGAATGCATGTAAGTGCTGTGATCTTCTTCCCAGTATAGCACACCTGAAATACCCCACCCACTTCTAGACCAATGACCTCTGGGCAAATACAAAATTAAGATGCTGGAGAGGCAAAGCATTTAGATGTGGTATGACTACATGGCAAGCAAGAAATATCAATTACTAACATCCAAATATACAGCTAGAGACACCATTAAAAAAAGCATCTAGACTAGTCTGAGAATCTCATCAGATTCACTTCTAAATGGTTGACTTGAGTACATTATGATTCATAATTTGAGAAGCTTACATAGTAACCAGGAAAAAGGCAAAATGAGGAATAATTTATCTCCAGGTGATCACTTAAATTTGTTATAAGTCATTTTGTGTTATGAGATTTAAACATCTGGATGCTTAAAGGCTCAAAGATTATCGACATTACTTGACAAATAAGACAGGACAGACATGCTTCTGTCATGCTTCTCCATGATTATCAAGGAAGCAGAAATCAAATAATCAAGGGATTTGTTGGATTACCTTTGGTCCAGGAAGTCCATGAGGTCCCTGAAAATGGAAAACAGAGCTTTTAATTAAGAATTGATTCTCTGTTTCCCAGCAGGAGTGAATATTATATCACATAACAAAAGAGATGAAGACAAGAATCTTCTTGTTTGAGCTATAGCTAGAGGCAGGCTAGTGGATATTATTTATTACCTACCAAAAGTTCCTGCCAGTTCTTGGATTGCTCTGTAATAGGAAATTCATTAATAGCAATTCTGTCTGCTAATACCTTTGAGGAGGGAGAAATCCGCCAGGGTTACGTGGAAGAAAGAAGTAGGAAAAAACGGTATTCTGAAGAAGTAAATTATGGTCACTCTTTCCTCCCATTGCTCAAGAAAGAGCATTATTGGAATGATCTAAGCCACAGAGCATAGCCAGTCATCCCTTTCTGACTAGCTCCATTTCTATTTTATACCATAAACAATTATTATTGACTTCTTCTCCTTCTCCTTTTTATTCTTCCTTCTCCTTCCTCCCTCCCTCCCTTTCTCTCTTTTTCTTTCTTTCTTTCTTTCTTTTTCTTTCTCTTCTTTCTTTTTTTGCAAAAAATGGTAATTTTTTCAAATTACCATTAAAAAGTCTGAGTAGAATAAGCGAGATGCTTCATGAGTTCAAATGAAATAAAAATATGACTTTGAAGAGAAATTTGCCAAAGAGAAGCCCCAGATTTTAAGTGACAGGGAAGAGGAGAGGTTTTCCATTAACTCTTCCAGACCCAAGGTGTTGAATAATCTAAAGAAGACAGGAAGAGAGGAGATGACACCCAAGTTTGGGATTCTGAAGCATCATTTATTTAAGATTAAAGAAAAAATTGTTATGTAGGAAAGCTAAGCATTATTATTTAGATTGCATTTATTTTTACAAAAACAAATTCTTCAAAGTTCTTGTAATAATTGTTTATCGGTGGAAGAAAGTCATAATGCATGCATGACTCAGGATTATAAAACACGTATTTTGTAGAAAATCTAAATATACAGACTAGTCAACTTAAATTAACTAAGGTTACTGTGGATTGCTGTAAACATTTCAAGAGATTTAAACAAACTATTTGGAGAAAGGAGTATTTAAATATCCATCAGTAAAATTATAAAACTTCAGGAAAAATTTATATTAAGCAATGCCTATATATTTGTTACATATGTCCACATTAGAATAATATTTTCCTTTTCGATAAGTGTCAGGTAAGCATTTTCAGGAAATGGCTGTTACTTTATCAGGTATTCTTATCTCATTTTAATAATGGCTTAAAATTCCTCTAAACTAATTAATTTTATGATATGAACAGGCTGTAGCATTTTCTAATTTAACTTTCTATCTTATAGTAGAGGAGGTATTAAAAAAAAAAAAGCCAAAAGTATGCCATTTGCTTAATTCTTAATGAACCATCTAGTTTTAAGAAAATAAGGTCACACTGGGTGAGGTGGCTCACACCTGTAATCCTAGCACTTTGGGAGGCCAAGGCGGGTGCATCACTTGAGTCCAGCAGTTCAAGAGCAGCTTGGGCAATGTGGTGAAACTTCATCTATTCAAAAAATACAAAAATTAACTGGGCGTGGTTGGTGACATGTGCCGTAGTCCCAGCTACTCAGGAGGCTGATGTGGGACAATCACCTGAGCCCAGGAGATAGAGGTTGCAGTGAGCCATGATCGTGCCACTGTACTCCAGCCTGGGCCACAGAGTGAGACCTTGTCTCAAAAAAAAAAAAAAAAAAAAAAAAAGGAGAAAGAAAGAGCGAGAAAGGGAGGTAGGGAGGAAGGAGAAGGAAGAAGAAGAAGAAGGAGAAGGAGAAGAAGGAGAAGAAGTCAATAATAATTGTTTATGGTGTAAAATAGAAATGGAGCTAGTCAGAAAGGGATGACTGGCTATGCTCTGTGGCTTAGATCATTCCAATAATGCTCTTTCTTGAGCAATGGGAGGAAAGAGTGACCATAATTTACTTATTCTGTAATACTGAAGTCTTTTGATTAATTTACACCTGAGAGACACATGTGACCTTCTAGCCTGCTTGACTTGCTCTTATTCTGCTCCAGTCAAAAGCATTTGAAGCACTCTGCCTTTGACATTCTAACCTTAACACAACTGTCATTGGTTTGACATTTAAAGAATTATACTTGCTTAATGGCTGCCTTCCTCACTGGACATCAGTTCCTTCAGGACAGGGTCACTGTCACCACTGGCCACTGCAAGACACCTGCAGTTAACACTGGCCCTGGCTCAATGAATCAATCAAAGTATCATAAAAGTAAGAAGGAAAAGATCTACCAATATATGTTATCTGAGGAAGTAAGCTTCAATTTTTATCATACTGTTTTACAAATATCCTTTTTTAAAATTGACACATAACTATATTTGTGGATACGATATGATGTTTTGATACCTTATACGTAAATGTTCCTACTGAACATTTCATTAAAGAGTTCAAACCTCAAACTTTGTCAGAATCATTCTTTAATGGCTATTACTACTACTACTATTAGTATGATTATTATTTTTGAGATAGGGTCTCACTGTCTCCCAGGCTGAAGTGCAAGGGCACGATCACAACTCACTGCAACCTCGGCCTCCCTGGGCTCAGGCAATCCTCCCAACTTAGCCTCCTGAGTAGCTGGGACTACAGGCATGTGCCACCATGCCCAGCTAATTTTTGTATTTTTTGTAGAGATGGGGTTTTGCCATGTTGCCCAGGCTGGTAACTCCTGACCTCAAATGATCTGCCCACCTTGGCCTCCCAAAGTGTTGGGATTACAGGCATGAGCCATTGTGTCCAACTGATTCTAAATCTTATTCTGCTGGTATTAGAGCAGCGGCTGGATAAAATGATTTGCCAGTGTTCACGCTGTAAGGCTGTAGTAGAGCTTGCTATATCTGTCTGTCTTTCCTCACCTCTATCACGAAACTACTCTTATCTCTTCCCAACATATGTGTTTGGGAGAATGAATGACAACACTGTAAAGTTAATATATCTCAAAGCACCTGGTATTTTCCATCCATTCCACAGAGAGTAGTACAAAATACAAGCTGACTGTTTAGAGGGATGTGTTCATGTTCTCTCTAGTAGCATGCTCATAAATAAGCAATTACATTTTAGAAAGAAGGGAAACTTACCATGGGGCCAGGTGGGCCATGGGGACCTGGTGGGCCTGGTGGGCCTATGATCTGTATGTCCAAAAAATAAAAATGTTTTTGGTTACTTCATTTAGATAAGGCAGTTCAACTTGAATCTTGTGCTGGGGTTCTGCTAAGGCCATTAGTAGTTGCAGAGGAAGAAAGATACTGGAATAAGTGATGTGTTTGATTCTCTAGATTTAGAAATTCCCTTGTGAGAATTAAAAAAATACTCCAAAAAAAAGTTCTACAAAAGCCAGAATAAATCAAAAGTATGTTAAAAGAAAAGGAAGCAACTGATTACCAAGAAACGCTATAATGTCACTACTATCAAACTCAAATATTTCACTAAGCATAAGCAGGACTCTGGAGAAACAAACAGATATGTTCTATATTCACAAAGATCTATCCATTGTTATGAGAAAACCATTGATTTTTTTTCCCTCAGGATTAGACAGTCCTCTGAAAACCTGCTTCTACCTCAGACCTCTGATATACTTTGTCTCTCACTGTGCAAGGCTGACGGATGTTTCTTCTACAGTTTGACAAACCAAGAAGTTTGAGGTCTGTCTACTGTTATTCAGTCATCTGGCAGAGGTGGTATAGGTAAGTAACAGGTCAGCGTGTGAGGAGGCTCAGGAACCATGGAAGTTCAGCCACCATGGACTTACAGAAGGACCCTGTGGACCTGGCATTCCAGAATCTCCTTTTTCTCCTTTCATTCCATTGGCTCCCTACGAACAACCAGTAGCAGAGTTAAGCAGATAAAGTTATTTCCAGTGTAAGAGACAACTGAATTTTCTCCCCAATCCCATTGTTCTCTTGACATTTTATAATATTATGCACTTGCTACATAAAAGAAGGATTTATCTCCTTGCATTCTAGCTTAAAATAGCAACTTTACTAAAATCTCTAGGATTATGGGTGATATATAAAATAAAATATAAAGTAAATACAAACTGGCTTGAGCTTGATTGGTTAAAGTCCTACAGTGTTAAATATATTGAGTTATAAATGTTATATCTTTTATGGTGGTGTGCAATTTAAACAGCAAAGGTAAGTCTTTTAACTTAGTTTTTATTGACATTTATATACTTCCTTGTTTTATAAAAAAGTCTAAGGCAGTGTAGTTTACTGCATTTTTTAAAACAATTTTTACATTTTCTCCTCCAAATTCTGGGTTAGAATTATGGGGAAAACCACAAAATACCATCCCATAGTATCATACACACAGAGGACACTTTCCAGAGAAATTTGTTTTTTAATTGTCCTGTATTTTTTGGCTCATTTCTTTATTATGGTTTATTTCATAATAACCAGTTAATACCATCTTATGCATACTAAATTAAAGTGGCCAACTATGTTTATTTTATTATCTTCTAGGGAAAACAATTCAGGAAAACATGAAGGCTTACTTTATAATTCATTTGGTTACAAGCTTTACAATTTGAGTTCCCTAGAGTAATTAACCAATAATACCCCTCAAATATTTCAAAATAAAAATATTAGATGAACCACTAGATGAGATTGCAGCTAATGATATAACTCTTTTCTGATTGTTTAATTTACCTTAATAAGAACATAACATAAAAAGTATAAACAAACGAAAACTATAAACATACCGGTAATCCAGGAAGTCCAATTCCTCCTTTTTCGCCTGTCATACCTGGGTCCCCCATGTCTCCCTTTGAGCCTTTGAGTCCCTAAAAATGATAGATAGAGTTGGCATGTAAGCAGCATACTGACCCCTGATAATTACATCCTAGGGAAAATAGAATTCCGGATCAATTTCATTAGTAGGTGGGTTCAATGTTGAGATGATTCTGATTTTTGTTTTTAGGTCGAGTTATTTCTCACAGCACCCTTCTATATGCAATCAGTACTATTTCTCCCTATAATGAAATAGATTAAGTTCTATTAGACCATTTAAGTATGAAAAACATGAACTTAGGTTTTCACATAATTTCTCCTGATTTTATATTTTTACCTGGCAGCTAATTCTATCTCACCGCACCTGAAAACAACTTAATAGATTTCATTCTCAACAATACAGGATGTATTCCGAACCGGGACCTAGTTTTATATAATAACAAATGTCCAGAAAAATTTCTCTCATCTCTATCCACTATACTCCCCTCCCTCCTAACTGCAGGCAGAAGTTCCAGTCACCATCAGTTTGCAATGGTCCAGTCTACAGACTGGTAAATCATTGGATCATTTACCGCACACTAATGCTCAATCAATGCTTAAAAGTATGACAACCTCTTCACAGTGTTCTTATTTTGTTCTCATGATGTCTCTATGAGGTGAGCCAGAATGTTATTTTTATTCTCCTTTACAGTGAGGAAATAAATATGGATTTTGAATGTTAACAAATCTGAATTTTGTAATTTTTTTTTTTTTTTTTGAGTCGGAGTCTCACTCTGTCATCCAGGCTGGACTGCAATGGCGTGATCTTGGCTCACTGCAACCTCTGGCTCCCAGGTTCAAGCCATTCTCCTGCTTCAGCCTTCCAAGTAGCTGGGACTACAGGCATGCACCACTATGCCCAGCTAATTTTTGTACTTTTAGTAGAGACGAGGTTTCACCATGTTGGCCAGGCTGGTCTCAAACTCCTGACCTCAGGTGATCTGCCCACCGTGGCCTCCCAAAGTGCTGAGATTACAGGCATGAGCCACCATGCCTGGCCTGAATTTTATAATATTAGTACTGACATTAATTTATATTTTTAAGCATTTTCATCCTAGGAAACTCACTTCGATATACTGATGGCTCATTCTTCAGTAGAGATGATCATAGTTATTATAGTAAGGGGCTTCTAGGCTGCACAAACCTGTTTATCTTTTCTTTATTAAAAACTATTCATGGAGAAAAATTATTTATGGAAAGGAACTTTTCTTGTTAACTGTACCTATTTAATAGTACCTAGTTCAGAATTACCCACTGGGTGAGTAGATGCCTGAATGAATAGATGGATCTTACTGATTAAAAACACCTGGATTATTTTTAGGGATCTACTGACAGAGAGCAGCCAGACGGCAACTTAGTGACAGAAGAAGACCTTGCAAAGCCTATAGAAAAAAAAAAAAAAGCTAGCTGCTATATCTGTAGGAGTCACATTGTATATCATTATGCATGTCAAATTAATTACTTATAATGACCAATGGTCAGAGAAGTAACATAGACAGACTTTAAAATTCTAAGTGATCTATGATATAGCAAATCATCTAAGGTATCTATGTTTTTTTTTTTTATCACATGTTCACTTAATATGGCATTATTATTGTTTCAACATATAATTCTGATATTAAAAATAACATCTCCTAAACCTAATTTTCCTATCTAATACTTTCTTCTAAGGAGTACATGTTCACTAGCTGTATTAAGAATCCTTTTGATTTCTTATGATTTTCCTGATTTTAGCCATTTCTCCGGTAAATAATGGAAACTAAGAAAACACTAAAGATCTTGAAATGAACCCTTTTGATTCCATTCCAAATTCTGAATACTGTCCATGTTCTCCAGCTCAGATTCTTTTAGGGCAGGGGTCGCCAAACCATGGCTCACAGGCCAAATCCATTCCAGGGATTGTTTTTGTACAGAGTGAATTAAAAAAAAAAAATGTTGAGGTGTTAACCAAAAATAAATAAATAAAAAGGAAAGTTCAGCACAGAGTGTATGTGGCCTGTAAAGCCTAAAGCATTTACTATCTGGACTTTTATTAATCAAGCTTGCCGACTTCTGTTTTAGGGGGAACCCTCAGACATATACTACCATACTCTGCCAAGCTACAACTTCCCGGCCTGTTTCTGTATTTTCTAAGGATCTAGGGATTAGGTGTCATCTTTATTTGGGAAAGGAAAACGTTGTCTAAATAAGGCATATAGGCAAGATTTAGTTTTGTGGAAGCTATCATCACTGATTTGAATCTTGACATATTTGTATTAACTGACAAAAATTAGGCTGGTTTTACTAACTTGGTAATGATTTTACAAGTCTACTAAAAATTTGCAGGGGAGTCACTGGTAGGTTGATATAAGGTATTAAGAACCAGACTAAAGTATCATATGGCTTAGATATTTCTGCAAAGAAAACTAAGGTCTAATTTCAAACTAATTGCTTTTTAGAGTCAATGAAGTCTCTAGAACAAAGGGTTAAAAGAAAGAAGGTATCAAATATCAATGCTCATGACATTTTGGCTTCAAATCTACAATAAAAGTAGTAATCAAGAATGATGCTTTGAATAATAGTATATATCCATCAAAATTACCTGCTCTCCATCCATTCCTGGGATTCCTGGAGATCCTTGCTCTCCCTGTTAAGGTAAAAATAGATGACTTACTTCCATTCTCATTGTTAACATACTGCACTACATAAAAAAACAATGCTAGTTGGTTAACAGTACAATTTAACTTTCAGCAAATGCATCATAACCCGAGAATATTCTGTTATAGCACATATCTAAACTAAGGGAAGTAATAATCTTTCTTCAAGATTATGTATAGTATTTATATGTAGCTAAGATCCAATGCTTTTAGTGTTTTTATTTTTTCTCCATGTGAGATGCAGGTTAAAACAGAGTGGTCAAAGAAAACTGATAGACATAATTTGATAGCTGACCATATCCTATAACAACAACCTATCTGCCTCAGTTAGTTAACTTTTTTCTTCATACAACGTCTGTATGATTTCTCTTACTTTCCAATTTCAGTAAAAAGGAAAACATAACAGTTAACCTAAAAAAATAAAATGCAAAGCCTCATGAATTTGCAACAATATTTTAATTGGCACAGTTCAAACAGTTAGTTACAAATTCATGATTGTGAGTGTGCAATTTCCAGAAAAGCCTCACTGAAGGATATCATAAATCAGATATCTTAATCTACATAAAATTACTTTTGAATCAATTCAATTTCTTATACTGTGCCATGAATGAACTAATATTTACTATTCATGTTATGATTTATAAAGATTTTTGACAAACTCAAAATATAGAGATTTTTGTTTGCCTTTTCAAACTGAAGATGTTCCATTAAAAGCAAATTTAAACAATATGCCAGAAAGTTAATCGAACAGCGAATGTTTAGTCACCTTTCAGTTTTGAAAAGTGACTAAATAAATTCCTTGAAAAGTAAGCATTATTTTGTATCAATGAGTCATTTATGTGGATCCCATTACAAATATCCCTGAATCCCACACTGTGGAAACTTTGTAAAAACAGCTCTTCTGAGTGTGAGAGGCCTGCCTCACAGACAGATTTCCAACAGAGCTGACCTGAGCCTATATTTTCTAGAAAGGCCTGTTTGGTGATACTATAAACGACAATATTGAAATGGCTAGAGCTCCTTTCCCTGGTAAAAACTTTAAGAGCTATGAGGTACAGCATGAAATTTGAGCTTTCCAGTGTTTAAGGAAGGTATGATCTTGTGGTTATAAACAAATGAAGCAAGAAAAGCAGTGGGGGAAGGGCCTTTTCTTATTTCAGATTTCCTGCTCTTTGTGGTAGCAGCGAAGTTTATTTTGCCACAAACAAGTCTGCTGAGGTTGGATGCACCTGGCTAAGCCCTAGTTTCATTCAGAGTCTGAATACTTGTCAGCACTGTGGGTCCAATAATGATGGCTTTGCTAGGCTTTTCCCTTTAAAATATGACTCACAAGTGTTTAAAAGGAGAACATAATTCATGAGTTATTCATTTATCCTTCACCTCTCAAATGGGGTTTGTAAGAGTTATTTGATGTGTAGGGAATCAAACAATTCTTGTGTGATAAATGAAGGAGAAATGCTAATTGAGTAAGTTCCCATTCAGTCTGAGTTCCAAGATTAGAAGCGGTTCTATACTTGACTCAGGCTACATTTTGCTGTCGCTTGGTCATAGCTACATTCCACCCCAATTATCCCAACCTTCTCAAGGCAGATCATGAAACACATAAAGGACTATATCAGCTAACACAAGATCTCAATTATAAGACCATTGTGGGGTGGGTGGGGGAGGGATGATAGCATACTGGGAAGGATGGCAAGGGTAGGAGGTAAGTGAGAATGACTCAACCCTCCTCCATATTGCTTGTCTAGATATTCATCTGGGCAACTTCTTCCTGTCTTTCAGTTTCAACTCAAAGCCGCTCTTGGCTCTTAAGACTTAGAGGGACCTTCTATGCACTCACTGTATTAACAATTGTACCTTTACTTGCCTATCTCCCTCCCTAGGCCATAAGCCCTTTATTGGAATTTCTTTCTAGTATCCTTACTAGATATTAGTCCTTACCATAGAGTGGAGGCTCAAAAATTACTTACTGATTTTTAAGACATGAATAGCAATTGGATTGTAAAAACCAGGGGAATACAGGTTTTAGTGATACAGCTTTTTTTTTTTTTTAACCTAGGAGGTCCTTTTTGCCTCTTTGGGTCAAAGAATGCGTGCCTTTGGGGCTTCTCTAGGCCTTTGGACTGTTGAGAAAAGTCCTAGAAACTTTTGAGGTTTGTAGGAAATGAGATATGTATTTAGCTTTGGGGACAATTTTGGTTCTGGAGTCTTAGTCAAGTGAGGAGGTGAAATAATGAACTTAGACCCTTGGTTGGTTCTACACAAAGGAAAAAAGAAATTGCAGATTTCCTTCTAGGATATCTAGTCCAGTTCACCAAGATATTACTGAATGGGGGTCCAGGCAGTGTTGCTCACCAAGAATAAAGATTATGTATAATTTTTTGTGTTATGTCTCTTAGGGACAAGAATGTGCTGGAGAAATAGAAAGTTAAAAATCCCACACCTTATATTAATGTTACACATGAAATCTATTTGAAATTAGGATCTATGTTCTAAATATATAGGCAAGGAGCTCAGTAATATTGTAATTTATATTCCTTTATATAATAGAAAAATAAATTTTCTATATACTAGATTTCTGTTTGTAAGTATCTTGAGAGAGTATGAAAGCTGATATGTGTGCGTGTGTGTTATGATAGACTTAGCAAATAAACTGCCCTAAGAAGCGTAAACAAAAGATGAATTTTGAAATAACTTGAATCTCCTACAAGAATCCAATGACGAAAGTCATATTTCAACACATGTAGCTCAGTTCTGAAAAGCCAGAATCACTGGCCATGTGTTAATTGATCAAACATGGTTGAATGACTAAGCTTCAGTTTGGAGGGATACAGCCATCAACAAAGTTTAGATATAAGCAAGCAATTCTAGCCTTCTACTATTTTTAGTTGGTATGTTTCATTAGATAAGATTTAAATGGCAAAATGTCTGAAAGTAAATAACAAAGACTGCATTATGAAAAATGATCCCTAAAGGTTTGATTTGTGAATGCACCATACTAAAACTTCCCTTACTCTTTTTATTAGAAAAACATTAGAAGCAAGGATCTTTCTTGGTGTCAAATTAAATTTTCTCCAACCCTCCTTTAATTAAATATTTTCTTTTTTTCATACACCACATTTAGTGTTTCTTACATTTATAATTTCTGTGGAACTGTTTTCCCTTGTTTAATATTCTTTTTCTCAATGTCTTCCCCTAAATTAAATTTCTCTCTCTTCTTTTCCTATTTTCCCTAATTCTTTTCTAATTTCTATCTTCCTTTAGTCCAGACCTCAATTTCCTTTCTTCACTCTCTAAAACAATATTGCCGATCTCAGTTTCTTCAGCATTTTGCAAGACTGATTTTCAAAGATGCATATACTTAATGTGGGATTGTCTGCACTGTATGTGATAAATGGAAACAAGTAAATAAAGAATAACCTTTGGCCCTTGTAGTCCTTGAGGTCCAGGAGGCCCAGGAGGACCCTAAATCAAGAAAAAGCACAATTTTTAAAAGTAGTAATTATATGTATCAAAATTCATGCCTTAAATAGGCACACTATACACTTCCCTTATTTCTATTGTAATCAGATATCCCCAAATATAAATTTGCAATGAGGAAAAATTTTTACTAGTTACATAATTAGAAAAACCCACCTATTTATATACTAACATATGAACACATCTGAGGTAAAGATAAGATGGAAGGTCTTTTGGGTAGATTCGGTAAGGCAATGTAAAATTGCTGCCACGCTCCACACTTATCCTATTGGGATGAATTAGCCTATGAATATTAGCTTTGTTTCTACATATGCTCCTTGCCCCCCCACCCCAAAGACTTTGATTTCCCAGACCCTACAGAATAAAGCTATATTGTTTAGATAAGGTCAGAGACTTTTAAGAAAATTAGCAATCACTTTTTTTCTTGACCTTTTCACTAAGCAGACAAAGTGATTCAACTGGAGCAAATGTAAAAGATTATTAATACAAGAAAACATAAAATTAAGTATCAGATAAAAACAATAGCTACATTAGTACCATTTTGACTGGCATGCATCAATACCAAATACAAAACCACAAACCACAGAAAGCATGCAATAGGAGTTACCGTGACAGTTAAGGTGGTAATCCTCTGTTGGGAAAATGTATTGACAAAGACAGAGTTATCTATTTTGTGTGCCAAAGTACAGTAATACATTTGTGAAATAATCAACTTTTTGAATATGTTTTGGCTACTGTGATCTTATAAGGAGTTGACAAGATACTGAGAACATATTTTCCTATCTTCAATACAGTATAGTTGTAGAGATTTTTTAAAAATTATTTTTAGAATCCTATTTTAAAAACCTATAGCTGAAGAAAAAGAATGTCAAAATTTTAATTCACCTGATTGAAAAAATTATGCAGTAAAGTTGTATATGCTAGAGGCTTGTCAGTATAATTGTGAACTGAGAAATTTTGCTATTGATAAAAGCTCTATTCTTGAGAGCATTTCATTATGAAAAACAGAAATACCCAACTGTATATTTTTCTCTTTTAGTCTGCAGCCCGTTTGTTGCATTAAAACTAACTGTGTGTGTGTGTGTGTGTGTGTGTGTGTGTGTGTGTGTTCTTTTTTTTTTTGGCATTCCATTTTTTTGTGAACTTAATCAGAAAAACAAATGAGTTTTTAAAATTGATTGCTTGATTTATTATACTTAAGTTCTGGGATACATGTGCAGAACATGCACATTTGTTACATAGGTATACATGCGTCATCGTGGTTTGCTGCACCCATCAACTCATCATCTACATTAGGTATTTCTCCTAATGCTATCCCTCCCCTTGCCCCCCATTCCCTGACATGCCCCAGTGTGTGATGTTCCCCTCCCTGTGCTCATATGTTCTCATTGTTCAGCTCCCACTTATGAGTAAGAACATGCGGTGTTTGGTTTTCTGTTCCTGGGTTAGTTTGCTGAGAATGATGGTTTCCAGGTTCATCCACATTCTTGCAAAGAACATGAACTCATTCTTTTTTATGGCTGCATAGTATTCCATGGTGTATATGTGCCACTTTTTCTTTATCCAGTCTATCATTGATGGGTATTTGGGTTGGTTCCAAGTCTTTGCTATTGTGAATAGTGCTGCAATAAACATACGTGTGCTGGTACCAAAACATAAGTAGACTGGTACTAAAACAGATATCTAGACCAGTGGAACAGAACAGAGGCCTCAGAAATATCACCACACATCTACAGCCATCTGATCTTTGACAAACCTGACAAAACAAGCAATGGGGAAAGGATTCCCTATTTAATAAATGGTGTTGGGAAAACTAGATAACCATATGCAGAAAACTGAAACTGGACCCCTTCCTTACACCTTATACAAAAATTAACTCAAGATGGATTAAAGATTTAAATGTAAGACCTAAAACTGTAAAAACCCTAGAAGAAAACCTAGGCAATACCATTCAGGACATAGGCAAGGGCAAAGACTTCAGGACTAAAACACCAAAAGCAATGGCAACAAGAGCCAAAATGGATAAATGGGATCTAATTAAACTAAAGAGCTTCTGCACAGCAAAAGACACTATCATCAGAATGAACAGGAAACCTACAGAATGGGAGAAAGTTTTTGCAATCTATTCATCTGACAAAGGGCTAATACCCAGAATCTACAAAGAACTTAAATTTACAAGAAAAAAAAACAACCCCATCAAAAGGTGGTCAAAGGATATGAAGAGACATTTTTCAAAAGAAGACATTTATGTGGCCAACAAACATATGAAAAAAAGCTCATCATCACTGGTCATTAGAGAAATGAAAATCAAAACCACAATCAGATACCATCTCATGCCAGTTAGAATTGCAATCATTAAAAAGTCAGGAAACAACAGATGCTGAAAAGGATGTGGAGAAATAGGAACACTTTTACACTGTTGGTGGGACTGTAATTTAGTTCAACCATTGTGGAAGACAGTGTGGCAATTCCTCAAGGATCTAGAACTAGAAATACCATTTCACCCAGAAATCCCATTACTGGGGTATATACCGAAAGAATTAATCTAACTTCTTAAAGTGCTAGAGAACTGTAACAAAATATACTGTCTCAAAAGTCTTAATCTCTAAAACATAATTCCTGATCCATGAATCATATTTTTGAATTAACATTTTCTGGTCTAAGTTCTGTGCTGAGAGTTCTATGGGGTTGATAACCACTTTATGAACTCACAGAGGGGAGAACGTTTCCTTTACGGACTCTGGTCATAGAGAAACATTATTCAATTACATTTAAACTTGTAGATATCCGTTGAACGCCATCCTTGTGTTTTCCACTATTCCACTCCAATTTCTGATTTGAGCTGTTGTTACTGTTTTTTTTTTTTTTTTTAATTGTTGTAAAAGGTAAAATATCCACAAACTGGGGGCAAGGTTATAAGGAAAAAGTAAGGTCCCAGAATTTTCCATCACATCCGTGTAACATAATTCCATTCAGTTTATTCTTCAGGGATTCACCTAGAATAAGAACTGGATTTGTAGTTATGAGAAAGCTACTTTTTTGTTGGTGTTGTTCCTACAGTGCAGATAAGTCATTAAACAAGGCTATTAGAAAATTAAGGAGTAGAAATAATTTCTTTATCATTGCCTTCCAATGACATGTTACTTTTTTTTTTTTTTTTTTTGACACGGAGTCTCGCTCTGTCACCTAGGCTGGAGTGCAGTGGCGCGATCTAGACTCACTGCAAGCTCCACCTCCCAGGTTCACGCCATTCTCCTGCCTCGGACACCCGAGTAGCTGGGACTACAGGTGCCCGCTACCACGCCTGACTAATTTTTTGTATTTTTAGTAGAGACGGGGTTTCACCGTATTAGCCAGGATGGTCTCCATCTCCTGACCTCGTAATCGGCCCGCCTCAGCCTCCCAAAGTGCTGGGATTTATAGGCGTGAGCCACCGCGCCCCCCCTACATGTTACTTTTTAACTAGAAAACAGGATCATAAAGCCCTAAAAAGGAAAGGGAGCTTCAAATTTGAGCTCTCTGAGGTTTTCCAACATGTGCCATATATTAATTCATTTTTTACCTGAACATAATGGTAGTTTGTATTTTTTATATTTAAGGATAACAACATGTTTAATAATGAGCTGCAAAATAAAAATTATTATTAATGGTAACTGACCTAACAGATGGAGTTTAAATGATTTTGTTAAATAACTATGTTTGTGAAACTTTAAAATTGTATAGTGTTCCATTCAGCTAATAGAAAAACAAATGACAATAAGCTGAGCTAACTTCACAAATACATAGTCTTGACCACCATCTGGAAGCACCAGTATGCAGACACACAGAGAAGTCCTAACGATGTGGCTCACTGTGCATTTCTGATATGTGGCAAATCTAAGTTAAAGCTATATAAACTCAGCAGGATTCTGTCCTGAACTCAAATAACGAATTGAAAACCAGAATTTTTGGTGGTGATGGAGAAAGACATGCCATTCGCTAGTGAGACACGATGTGAGATGGGAGGCATGAACTACAGAAACTGCAAATTGGGTAAAGCCCAGCAGCCTGCTTTGTGATTTATTCCCTGAAATGTTTATCTGAATCTCTTCAGAATTAAAGGTTATTTTCTTTCATTTCTCATAATGGTGAAAGCTTAAACTCGCCCATGATTCATACTAGAGAACAGGTTTGGTTTAGATAGCAATGAGAATTTTTTTAAAGAGTCAGTTAGGAAACAGAGGTTTTACTGCTAATTTGTGGAAATTTAACCACCTTAAATAAAAATAAATAGCTTATGGCAATGTTTATGTAAATCACAATCTTCAATAGAGGCAACAGTCAAATTTTATATTTCTAATATGGTATGATTATAACTGTAATATACTTTTACTTATCTGATTATGCTAGAGTATTTGTGGCAGATTGCTTTAAAAGGGGTAATAATGACACACCTGCAAAACTGTAAATATCCATCACTAGTTAGAGAATTAGAAGAATAAATGTCTACTATCTCTTCTCAATCTAATGTATTAATTTTATGAGGGACTCAATTCACTAGAGCACTATGTTAGGAAAACCAATAGTTTTGATGTGAAAAGATAACTATAAGCAAGGCAAATAGTTGCCTAACAACCAACCCCATAAGAAGAATAAACCTTTAGGTTGAGACATAAGCATGAACTAGTGAGGAATATTGATTGTTTTGTAGTCATATAGAATTAAAGATGAGAAAAAGAAACAGAGGTATCTTTTCATATCGAGATATAGGTGTCACATTTTTAAAAAAGTACAATGCTTTTAGGTATATCAGTAGAAAGTGCTCAGAAGCTCTGAAAAATCACCCTAAGAATAGTATTAGGTTTTGTGGACTTACAGAAAAACATTTATTCCAATAACATCCTCATTTTGCAGATAAGATCAATGAAGTATAGATACATTAAGCAATTTCCCCTAAATGACTGAGCTAATAGAGGGGAGATCAAAATAGAGATTTCCATTTTAGACTAAGGATAGCTTGCCTCATGCCAGACCCAGTTCATGCAAAGAATGCTTTGAGAACTTGATCACAGTGTTGCAGAAAAATGCCCAATTATATTGGAGCAGTTCTTGGAGGATAAAAAAGTAGATACCCCTTAAAGGTGGTAGCAAGAATTATGGGGCCATTGGAAGTAGTTCAAGGGCAATTTACAACATTGCTAATAAGCTAAGTTTTTAAAAAGTCCCTATATTTTATAAGAACTTTGAAAACACAGTAGGCACACCAAAACTTTGTGTTCTCTGTCTCTGTCTCCCTTTCTTTCCTTAAATAGTTATCAACTTGTGGGGAAAAGGGAACAATTTAGAAAACTAGTTCTAGAACTTGACAGTAGCCCAGAGGCCACTGATTACGTTGAATCCAGTTACACAGAGGAACACTAATTCAAGCTCTTGACTAAAGATACTGTCCAAGCAACACTTCTCCAAGCAGTAAACATGCTTCTCTTTGTATTTTACCAGAAGAAAAAGAATGAAAAGGTCAAAAAATAGGCTGAGCTGAAGATAGATTAAAAAAAAAAAAAAGACTTAGTACTCTACTAGTTAAAAATGATAGTTGTAGCAGATCTGTCATAATTAGATTGTGTTAGTAAAATCATAAAGATGGAAAAATCAAACAGGTACAAAGTGGCAGAGAAATATTTAAAACAACTAATTTGGCTTACAAGCAAAGAAATGGCTTGTACATGAGTTAAGTATACTTATTCAACCAATAACCGTTTATTTAATATTTACATATCTAGACAATATAAGCATAAAATGTTTTTCTATCACTAAGCTTACAATCTCATAAGAGGTAAGACTAAAATCAACTATGGAGTTTGATTTTCAATGGTAAACCACCAGAACCCCACTACTAATGTTTTAAAGGATTAAGAGGAAGAACTCATTTGAGTGGCAGCAGTGGATTGATGTATAGAATTTATATGGGAAAGAAAGGAAAGAAGAGTGGGATGAACACAGGCAAAAAGGGGGAGATTTGTATGGATATGATAAAAATGATTATTCCAGGGGAGACTTGCTGTGGAGAAATGAAAAGTTCTCCACAGGAAGGGCATGACTATAGAGGCTTAAGATGGAGAAGCTTTGGCTTGATAGAGTAGGCAGAAGGGGGTCATTAGGTTTCTGAGCAAATTAGAAGCATCAAAGCCATGATCGTTTATAAAAATTAATCTTGGAGTGATACACAAGATGAATTAGAAGGACGAGGAGGTACTAGGGAAAGAGTCATTGGTCAGGGAGTTGTTGCTGTATTAGGCATGAAGTAAACAGGATGTGGACTCAGTTGGGAATGGAAAGAACAGGCAATCTCAAGAGATACTTTGAAAAAGGGAATAGAAGCCCCTTGGTGAGATAGAATAAGTAAAGGACTAAGAATAGTTTAAAAATGGCTCTAAACTTTCTATTCCCCCAAAATCCAGATTCACGGTATCACTAACAGAAACCGGTTACTTAAAAAAGGGACTCATTTGGTAGGTGGGAAAGGTAACCAGTATAATTGTGTGTATTGGTGGAAGTTGATAAAGCATTCATACATCCATAATGAAAATATTCTTGGACAGCTGGGAGCATACACAGATTATATCTGGAGATAAAAGAATTGAGAGCCATAATGTGGAAGAACACAGAGGGAGTGGCTGTACCAAGAAAAGATCAGAGATTTGAGGATACTAGGGAATAGACAGAGAAATTAGAAACACCAAAATACAGGTGATACGCCAGAGAAGAAAAATGGAAAAAATGAAATGAAAGTGGAAGGTCAGAGAGACACAAAAAAAGTTTCAAAAGGAAGGTGGTTTGATATCAATATCACAAAAAGGTCAGGGGTGATGAGTCCAGTGGACTTGACACAGAGGTTATCGTTGAGCTTTGTAAGAGAAGCGGCAACAGAATGATGATAAAGGCTAGAATGCAGGAGTCTAAACATGAAAAGAATGAATAGGAAGCAAAGGTGATAGAGACGAGCCACATAGTCGATTGCTTACTTAATGAGATGAAAAGAATTATATGGTAGCAATAATAAGAAATACTTATAGAGGGCTTACTATGTGCTTACTCCTATACTAACAGTATAATATATATTGTGCCATTTGGTCTTCTCAATAACGCTATGAGGCAGATACTGCTACCATCCTCATTCTGTAGACAGGGAAACTGAGGCACAGAGAAGTGAAATAACTTGCCCTAGGTCACACATTTAGTAAGCAAGAGAGCTGAGATTTGAATGCAAGCAGCTCCAGCCCCAGAGGCACAGAGCTCTTGATTGCCTTGCCACGCTCCCTCTGCAAGCAAGGAGGCAAAACTTGGCCAAACTAACACAAGGTTTATCCCTCATAAGGCTTAACTATATCTGAAGGTGGAAGGGAAAGGAAAGAAAGGATGGAAAAATGCTACAAAATAAAGAAGATAAACTGGGGCAGAGAGAAGGGGATGGGTTCTTGAGAACAGGGAGAAGGGGTGCCTTGAGCAGTGCAGTCCTCTGAGGATAGAGGGTGTGGAAGGTCATATTTGCACACATTACATGGGTGCTCCTCAGCATCCTTCTCAGTGTATGTCAGGGCAGGGAACAGTCACTTGCCTGTAAGGCTTCGTGGAGGTTGCCATTGTAGTCTATGATCTCAGTGGCTCCTTGATCCCCTTTTTGACCAGGTGGACCCTATGACAAAACCAATCAAGGGAAAATCATGGGTATTAGCTTAGCATGTAGGGTGGACTATGGCAGAAACAGAAACACAATTCACAGGTCTCTCTGACCATCATTTCCCTACTAAGGCCCAACTGTACTTTAGAATATATAAATAATTATGTTCAAAATGTATCCTTATTTCAAAGGAGGAAAACCACTTCTTATATCCTGTTTTTGGTAGGTCCAAGATATGAAATCTGATTAAAAAACAATTTAATTTTTGAAACTATTTTCTGAAAATTACAATATAGGCTACCCTGATGTGACCTGTACAATTTTATTTGCTTTATTCACATTTATTAAAGCATCCTCTAACCTTTTGTTCCTCATCCATACTTCATATATTGCTTCCTCATTCTTTTTTTGAGATGGAGTCTCGCTCTGTTGCCCAGGCTGGAATGCAGTAGCATGATCTCGGCTCACTGCAACCTCTGCCTCCTGGGTTCAAGCAATTCTCCTGCCTCAGACTCCCATGTAGCTGGGATTACAGGCACGCACCACCATGCCCAGCTAATTTTTCTATTTTTAGTAGAGACGGGGTTTCACCATGTTGGGCAGGCTGGCCTTGAACTCCTGACCTCAGGTGATCCACCAGCGTTGGTATCCCAAAGTGCTAGGATTACAGGTGTGAGCCACTGCACCTGGCCCTCATTCTTTAAAAAGATAGAACATTGTTCTGTAGAAAAATGTTGGCTTTCCCATCAGGAATGAATGCCACATTAAACCAAATAGGGAACAAACAATAGAATACATGTATGTTTTTAAGACTTCTACCCTACTTACTAGATCTGCTACTTAACTTCCATTAGTCATGTCATAATTCCCTGACGTTTTTTAAAAAGGACGCTGAACATATGGGTTATTGCTTTCTTTATAATTGAGTTAATTGAAAAGTGGAAAATTCTATTAGCTGGATGGAAACAGACGGAAAGTAGACAGGGGGAGTTCTTTAGACCTTCTCAAAGAAACTTAGTTTATGTGTTGGAATCCCTACAATCACTGCTTCTGGTGAGGAAAATAAAGGAGGTAGGGGCGTTTCAGGAATAATTACAGTAGTCTACCTCCAATACTGTTATGAGTATTATTAATAGAGATGTCATATGAATAGCCATGCAGACATGAATTCAAATCTGGGATTGTAGGAAGCAAAAGTTTAGATGGATGAGAGGAACACTCACCCTTGGTCCCTGAGCTCCAGAGTCCCCTTTGTCTCCACGATCCCCCTTTTCCCATTGGAAAGAGAAAAAACTTAATTAGAAGTGGGAGAGTCTAGAAATCTCTCATCTAAGAATGTATTTATACCATACAGAAGCACCTTTAATATGAACCTCTGAAGTGAAAAATAACAGCAACCACCACCAAAATGCAAATGCTTTTTTTAAGATACAGCTTGAAAAGAACTAAAATTCCTTTTTTAAAAAAACTCCCTTTTCAGGTAATAGAGTATCTTGAAACAACAATATATATGGTAACTGTCTCACTAGGTAGGATCTGCAAAGGCAAAGCAAGTGGTTTCTATGGCACCCAAAGCAAGCTTTTACCTTGCAGATTGAGCCATGTTCTTCCTTTTTATGAAGAGATTTGGGGCAAAAGGAAAAAGAGCCAACAATTATGTTGTTTTTCCTCTGAGAAGAAAAGTATAGATAATTGGGACAGGAAAGGAGTAGAGAGCTCATTCTAGGGAGAATTAGGAAAGGAAGGTCACAGGCTAGGCCTCCCTCTGATGATGGGAATCTAAGGAAAAGTTCATCCGTAGGTATAGGCATTTTAACACTCAGACAGTGCTGAAGTGGACAGCAGCCAGCTGGAACAGGTTGGCAGGGCTGAAGGTCACAGGCAGGGCAAACCCAACGCTCTTTTTTCAGTGCAATATGAAATTTATCTGAAGTTTCATTGATGGTGGCATTACCTCAATTGTAGAGCAGGAGGAATAGTCTAAGCCCTCAAAATTCTTAGAAATGTAAACTGAAACTTTGGAGAAGAGATTTGAACCTGTGTAGATTTAAAACAGCCTTAAATTGATAAGGTTCTTTTTCTATATAGACTTCAAAGCATTTTTATACGTCTTTCTACAGATTCCCATAAACTGGGTAAGGATGAATAAAGATAAGCAGGAAAAAGGATTATAATTCTTCCCATCCACAGTATGCTAATAACATTGATCATAATAAATTTGCTATTAATGAAGCATTAATAATCTTTGCTCTCTGTTTTCTTCATCTTGCACACATTTTTTTCCATGTTAGTAGCTAACAGCATTTTAAATAACATGATTCTGCTGACACTATATATGTTATTGCAGATAGTATAAAGAGTATGATATAGAGGAGAATTTCAATTGGCAGTAAAATTTTAATGCAATGAAGGCAGTCAATTAAAAAGCAGAGTATAATTTGAGCATTTATCACAAAGATAGCCAGGAAATGAAAAATTAGATTATACAACACATAATTTAAGGAAAGTTCTTAATTTTTTTCAAAGAAGCTATTCCTATGAAATAGGAAATACAACTTTTCTTAAGGAATTTTCTGAAGCACAAGACTATGGAAAAACAAGCAAGATGAAATAAATGTATTGTTTTGAGATATCATCATAGAGATACTGCAATCCATTTTGCAGTAAGTATTGCAATTCCACTGTGTGAAAGAGTTTAATCTAAAACATGAAAAACATGCCTCTGTGGCAAAGGTAAAAAGCACAGATCTTGAAGGCCTCATGTTATATTTAAATGGTTATCTGGTTACTGACCTTTGACCCCTTTGGGCCTCTACTTCCTGATTCACCTTGTTTCCCCTATTACAGGAGAATAAGAGTATGAAAAAGATAAAATTATAGAGGAGATAAGAACAGAAGAAAAGAAATTAGCAGTCACTCAGAATAACGAAGAAAAATGGAAACACTTTATTTTAACTGCCTCAATATATGGCTCTACAGAATGTTGGTTATTATAATACTAAACATAATTATCATCACTATATCATCAGTTCATTCCATTATTCTGAAGGCTGCCCTCCCATCAATGGATGAGAAGAGTTCTGTGAACAATTCTCATTAGTCTCAACAGTGTTGGCCTGCATCAATTTCCTTTTCATCAAAGAGTAAATCATTTCCTGTATCTCCAGGATGGGCTATTAAAATAAAGTGTGACCATACTAGTTTGTGGAAAGTTTAAATGAATAAGGTTAAACAGTCAAATAAGTCCTTAGCTCTAATATTTTCAAGGTGTTACGCTCCATTAAGTTACCATAGAAACTAACACAGCACTTATCAACAGGGATTTTTTTCTCAGTGAGTTTTAATATACATTGAGTGATAATGTGTTAATATGACAACACTTATTTTACATTTGGATATGCTATCAGTTTGCTCACTGAACAGAGTAAACAGGGTGAGATGAATTGTAAAATCTCTTTTGAAAAGAACCAGTTGGTGCGCATTTCAACAAACTATTTGTGATTTGGGTTGTTTTAATACCTGTTGAGAATGTTTTAGTTTTTTGTCAAATCAAGCCAGAGAATGGTTATTTTCCAATGTAAGAATAACTGACCTTTGGTCCGGGGGCTCCGGGTTCCCCTCGCTCACCTCTTCCAGGAGGTCCTGCTTCCCCCCGTTCACCCTGTCACAAATTGCAAAACAGGTAAGTGGCCATTCCCCTAACCCAGGCTGGTCCCTGTAGATTAATAAATGAGTTGAATGAAACCAAAGAAAGCAGAGAGTTTTCACTGATTTACCCAGCACCCAGCATTTTATTAATCTCTTTTCATGAATCATCTCATTTTATAATCAAAACAATTTGTGATGGTTAATTTTAGGTGTCAACTTGACTGGATTAAGGGACACATAGCAAGATAATAAAGCATTGCTTCTGGGTGTGTCTGTGAAGGTGTTAATGGAGGAGACTGGTGGGTGAGTCTATTGACCGAGTGAGGAAGATCTACTTTCAATGTGAGGCGGCACCATTAAATCTGCTGGGGGCCCGGATAGAAGAGGAAAGGCAAACTCTCTCTTCCGGAGCTCAGAGCTCTTCCTCTCAGTCCTGGGACATCAGAACTCCAGGTTCTTGTCTTTGGATTTTGGGACTTGCACCAGTCTCCCTCAGGCTCTCATGCCTTCAGCCTCAGACTGAAAGTTACACCACCTGCCTCCCTGGACCTGAGGCTTTCCAACTTGGACTGAGCCATGCCACTGTCAACCCAGGGTCTCCTCCAGCTTGCAGATAGCCTGTTCTGGGACTCAGCCTCCACAATTGCATGAGCCAATTACCCTAATAAATCCCCACTCATCTATCTATCTCCCTGGATATATCCTATTGGTTCTGTCTCTCTGGAGAACCTTGACTAATAGGCAATTATCCAATGTTTGTATTATCATCCCCATTTTATGGATAAGGAAATGGTTTGGTAAATGCCTGTCAAATAGCTATGTTGATAAATAGAAAGACCTTTAAATGGAATTGATAAAGACCATCATTATACCTCAAAATAGGAACGAATATCCATTTTCATTCTGTAGTCACTTTTTAAGCACTGCTGGCAAGAAGCATGGCAAAGTGGTTAAGTTCCTGGCTCTGTAATCCAGCATCTTAGGTTTTACTCCTGGCTCTGCTATTTATCAATTCTGCGTTCTAGGGTAAGTTAGTTAGGTTCTGTATACCTCAGTTTCCTCTGTAAAATGGACAAAGTTAATAGTACTCATCTCATAGTTTATGAATGTAAAAGTGTTCAGAATGATGCTAGCCACACAGGTTTTACAGTTTTTAAAATATATTTATATCTCTGTGAAGTATAAATATGGCTACTGTCCTCAAGGACCTAGTGATGTAGTTAGGCAGACAAGAGCCACAAAAACCCAAAATAGTTCAGGATTAAGGAGTAATATAAGGCCATATATGACAGAAGGGGAATCCCCATTGATTTCTGTTATTGTGGATTGGATCCCTGGAGGTGAGACTTGAATTGTGTCCTGAAGTATGAGTAGGGTTTATTTCATACTTGTTGCTGTTGATGACTGTAGCATGGATGAGTGCAGGAACTGCACAAAACACTTTACATGCATTATCCTATTTAATCCTCAGGATAGATGAGAAAAGTTTTATCATCCATATTCTACAGATGAGGAAGCCAAAGTTTGGAGAGGTTAAGTAACTTGTTCGAAGTCACAAAGCTTTTAAAGTGGGTAAAACTGATTGTACTCAAACTTCAATTTTTGCATAAATGTTTTAAATGTACATCTTTGCACATCTTTGATCATTTTCTCAGGATAAATTCCTAGTTGGAAAATTGCTAGGTCAAAAAGTATGAGTATTTTTAAAAACTTGCTAAATTGCCCTCCAGGAAGATGGTACTTTTTAATACTCCCTAAACACAGAGTAAAGAGTGTCTGGCTTCTTGCATAGGGGCAGAATTTCAATCATCAAACATTTAGAATTCAGACTGTTGATGACATATTTATGGATGAAAGAGGTGCTCTCCTCACTGAAGGAAATACTTCATCTTGGAAAAGATAAGAAAATAGAATTGGATCTGTGGTGGGTCATGTAGGGCTTTAAATTCCAAGATCCTTATCTGTATCATGCCCACTTTGGGAAGCTTTTGTGGTTTTGTAGGGGAGGCGGGATAGGTTAGTCAAGGGTTAAGAAAGACAGGAGGCAAGAGTTAAAAGACTCAGAAGGCTTCTCAACAGCAACTGAAGACGTTGTGAAAATGGAGAGGTTGAGAGAAAGATAAGGGACTTCTCTAGATACAGGAGATAGACACAATGGCCCAGAAACGAAAGGACTTTTTGCTTTTTGTCATCCCCCACCCCATTACCCTGTTGAGTGAGACTAAGGAGCTTCTATTGGTATATGAAAATTATTAAAAAACTGTAAAGTATTTGGTGTTTCTTTTAATATTTTACTTTAAGAATTACAGAAAAATTCTAAAATAGTCCACTATGAAAACCCCTTAAAAATCATTTATCTGTAGTTTGCCACAAGAATGAAGTCTATACATCTTTATTTTTTAACATTTATATATTTTTAGAGAGGGGATCTTGCTATGTTGCCTAGGCTGGAGTACAGTGGCTATTCACAGGCACTATCATAGCACACTACAGCCTCAAACTCCTGGGCTCAAGTAGTCCTCTGGCCTCAGCCTCCTGAGTAGGTAGGATGACAGGTGTGCACCACCACACCCACCTAGAATCACTTTTTGTTACATCCCTTATTAGTTCCCTATCACTCTCTGAAATCATATTATTTATTTGTTTACTTCTTTCCCTCCTTCCATCTGTTCCTCACCCACACTGCAATGTAAGCTTCAGGAGAATAGAAACTGTTGCTGTTGCATTTACTTCCCATGCTTAAATGTAGAAAAATATTTGGTGAAAACATTGGCAAATT